AGAGATAATTTTTTTATTTATCTTCTATAGATGGAATATATGGTTTTTATACCCTACACCGCACTGTGGTCAGGATATTATGTTTTTGTGCATTTGTTTGTTTGATGAACTGCATAGAATCACTTTCTGAGTCGATTTATGCCTGTCTGTCCGTCCATCTGTTCATGTTTTTTTGTAAACAAAGTTCAGATCACATTTATTGCCCGATCAAGATGAAACTTTGCACATATCATTTGTTTGGCTCAGGGACAAACCCTATTGAAATTGGAAATAATCGATCGAAATTTAGATATAGCTCCCATATAAATCTTCGCCCGATTTGCCTTTTATTTTGCACCAAATTTGTAATATTAGCCCAATTAAGATAGAATTTGACACATATAACCAAATTGAGCCTAGAAACAGAAGTATCAAGAGTATCAAATTTTGTGGAAATTCGTTCAGTTATAGCTATAGCTCTCATATATATTCTTCACCTGATTTGTTAAATTTACATCATAAAAATACCTCTAGTAATTTGCCTAAAAGCGACTTGATCGAAACCCGCCTTGCAGTTGCTGTCGAATTTTGTTTTCTCCCATGAGAAAACATTCGTTGTCCAGCGGTTTGTAAACAAACAAAATGGTCGTGTTTACTTGCCAAAGAGGTCAGCTGAAAATATGCACCTTCGGTTGGCCACCAGAACTCAAGTGCGGGTCATGGTGATGGAGTGGGCCGCCATAACAGCCGATGGTCGCTCTTCGCTCGTATTAATCGGCCGTGGCATCAGAATAAATGCCGAATATTATCGCTAAAATATTCAGGAGGGTGTATTAAAGCCTTGGACATGCAAACATTTTGGCCGCAGACTTTGGATATCCCAACAGGACTCTGCTCCATCGCACCATATATATATATATATATATTTTTTTTTTTTTTTTTTTTTTTTTTTTAAATTTCGGAAATGTCACTATTTTCATATTGTCGTGTCTTCATTTGGTCTGACTTGTCTACTTGAAAAATATTTCTTTTGTTGCTAAAATTCGACTCCCAATGTTTTTTTCCGCTGTTTCACTAAACTTATAAATTATAATTTTTCTCTCAAATCCCATTTTGGAGAAGAAAATTTGTTTTAAAAGAATGTCTAAAATCGTCAGCAGAATCCCCTTTATATGATTCAGGAAATTATAATCTCGAATTCCACAACAAAATTCTATTTTGATATAAAACGGACTGTTTTTATAGCTATTACTCGCACTGTTATTTTACAATTTAGTCCCTTTTTTAATTTAATAATAAATAAAAATTTGCTAATTCGTTTTATTCATTTTCATATTTTACTAAATGAAGAAAAAAATAAACAAAATGTCTCGGCTGGCTTTTTCTTATTGGTGGAAAAATAAAGCTTGCCTCAAAAATAGCATGCAAACGTGGTGAATTGGCCACACGTAACCCCAGCTTTCCTACAGGGTACTTATTGCAAGTGAAGTAGGGATTGGAAGACCAAGAAGCAGACTGATATGGCAACTCGATTAACGAACACGTTATTAACGCTTCTCTTCAGAAACACTTAAAAAGTAATTCTTACAGAAATATCATTCATTTGATTCCGATATCGAAAAGTGATTCATTCTAAATGATTTAGTAATTTTTAAAGATTACAAATTTTTTATTGCTTGTTGTGTTTGTTCAACACAAACAGAACTATTTAAATTTACTCACTCGCTCGCTCTCTCGCTCTCTCCCCCATCATAATAATGGTAATTCGTGAGTTTCCCACGGAAGTAATGTGCGGTAATAATTCATAAGTAAATACGCTACTGCGCCCCATCATCGTACGTAACATTTATAATAAGTGACGTTACGCTTTATTTCAAAAGGTACTTTGGTCACGATCTTCAATGAACTTGTCAGACACGAATGCACATAAGTATATATATTTTGAAAAATAAACTACTGGAATCTTGAATGATTTTCTAGTAGATGCGCTATTTTTTGATTTGTTTTTTTTTTTTAAAGGAAATGTATTGAATGAAAAATATTTTGGGAATATAATGGCATAGCCGTTGAAAAGGTTGGTATACATAGTTTGGTCACGTATTTATAAAAAAATGTCAAATTCATTAAATTTGAAACGGAAACTATAATATGTGAGTTATGTCCGTTAACTAGCCAGAGTATTAATTTTTGGGACATTTATACCGTTATATTTTCTAAAACAGTTATAGTAAGTTTACAGTATATCGGATGAGCTTTTGACATTTGAAGAAAAGTGAGTGTATTTAAAGAGTTTTCATTACGGTGTGTTATTTTCAGTTATATTATTATTATTTCAATTATATATTTTGGGATAATTTATCGGATGTTTGATTCATAATAAAGAGAAAGGTATGTCGTTAACAATCTTTATCAGCTAAATAGGGAAACCGAGCCATATCCCTTGAAATTTTACATAACCAAATCGCAAAGTGGCTGCCATTTGTATTCGATAGCGTCACAAATCTTTGAAGTCTAAAATCGCCGCTGGAATGACCCCAAGATTTTTTGCTTACTGGCAATGCAGACTTAAGTTCATAAGTCCAAATTGAGGAGTGTTCGTCTACCTAATAATTTGTACTAATTTACTGGATAAACAAATTTAACATATCTATATTTATTGCGGAATAAAATTAACAACAATAGAAAAGGACAAAGTAAGTAACGAAGAAATGTAGATAATTTAAGAACGGATGATGAGCTATTTTTTTAGGTGTCAAATCGAGATCATTATGCCTATATTGGAGATGCAGAAATAATAGTTATTTGTTGCAGACTGTATCCTTGTTCGCACTAAGTAAAGTTTTGTTTTTTAATTCATTATTTTTGTAAAGAAAATGTAAAGACAAAAAAAATTAAGTAAAAAAGCTGTAAGTTCGGTCGGGCTGAACTTTGAAAACCCTTCAGCAATTGGAACAAATTTGGCAATTTTCAAAAAAAAAAAAACGTTAAAAATTCTGTTAATTAAGGTCTAAACGACGACGGGGACCTGCATAGGCAACGTTTGTCATAAGCCAATTGCAATATTCAAATGCGAAACTTTAAAAAAATCGGTGAATACTTTAGCTAAAATCATTAATATAGGGAGGTACTATTATATGGATCAAAATGTGGACCTGCACAGATAATTTTCTGCCTTAGGCTGCAGTATGCATTACGAACTCCAAATACCAAATTTGAAACAATTCCGATGAATAACGTCGCTAAAATCATTAAAATACCAAATATAGGTAGGTACCGTTATATGGGGGATATACGAAGACGTGGACCTGCACAGTCAATTTTCTGTCTTAGGCTGTAGTATCCATTACGAACTTCAAATACCAAATTTGAAACAATTCCGGTGAATAATGTCGCTAAAATCATCATAATACCGAATATCGGGAGGTACCATTATATAGGGGGCTATACCAAAACGTGGACCTACATGGCCCATTTTCAGTACCAAAAGTCTTGCAGACACTTAATTTCGTTCGGACTCTAGATTGAATTCCAAAGACGGTTGGACAGACGGACATCGCTAAATCGGCATAGAATTTTATACTGATCAAGAACATATATACTTTGTGGGGTCAAAAATGTATATTTCGAGGTGTTACAAATGGAATGACAAACTTAATAAAAAAATGTGAAACCGTGCCTACATCAATTGGAGATGCAGGAATAATAGTTATTTGTTGCCGACTGTATCCTTGTGCACACTAAGACAAGTTTCCTTCTATTATTATTATTTTTTTGTAAAGGAAATATAAAATGTAAAAATGATATTAGCCATTTGGGACACCATAAACCTGATATCGGATAAAGATATATATGGGAGCTATATCAAAATCTGATCCGATCTCGATAATATTTGATAGAAGTATTTCAGGGCTGTATCTGATATCTGGTACCAAATATTATTCTTGTGGAGTGAGTATTACGCATGTAAGGGACCTAAAACCCCAAATCGGATGAAACATAGTTATATCTGAACCGATTTTCTAAAAAAATTAAAGTACTAGCTTTTAGGCTGAATTCTGTCGGATGTGCCAAATTTAAATCCATTTGGTCTGATATTAGCCATTTTGTGTAAAATAAACCTGAAATCTGAACCGATCTTGACAAAATTTAAGGCACTTATTTCTGATCTGATATCTGGCACCAAATCTGAAATCTGATCGGATTAAACATATATATGGGACTTATAGCTATATCTGAACCGATTTTCTGAACTGAATTCGGTCGGATGTGCCCAAATTCAGGTCATTCGGACTGGTACTGGTATATTAACCCAAATCGGTTAAAGATACATATGGGAGCAATATCTAAATTTGGAAAATTTTATGTCAATCGGATAAAAAATCCTATTTTCATTTTGGTCACGGACTGACATGCATATATCGACTCAGAAAGTGATTCTATGAAGATCCTCAAAAGTAACTATGGGTCTATCTCGCTTCCTTCTCTATGTTACAAACAATTGCACAAAGACCATTTCCACTATGCGGCGTGGGGTATAAATACAACAAAACATTTTTGTTATTAAGATTTGTGCCAAAGTTATTGTGTTGTGGATCGGTTGTTTGTTTACTTTTGGCAATTTTTTCTCTATCGTGAGAGAAAACCATATTTTTCTAAGTAACTTCTTACGGAGTAAATGTTAAGCGGATAGTAAACGAACGGACCTATTACCAGTCCTTCTTTCAAAATTAAACTAAATCATCAAAATAAAAGGGAAATCCGATATAAGCTGATTGGTAATATGACATGACGACTGTGATAAAAGCCAACCGAACCAACAAAATATACATACATATTTAAATATCTAAAATTTTTCTAAAATTAAATGTTATTCCCGAAACGTTTAAATAATGCTATGAAAATCATTTCATGTTTTCCGAAACTTAAATTCAATCCGATTGTATCAGTTATTACTATTCGCATACATTATTAGGAACATTTACAGAGTTTCATCTAAAGCAAGACACACACAATCAACTTACCCTCAAAATGGAACTTTCATTCAAGTCATTAAGTTCTTCCAGACTCTCTTTAATCGGATCATCTTTCACAACTGCCGATGTGGGACCGGCAAGGCCTAAAATAAATTACGAAACAAAATATGTTGTTAATACCAAAATGTCTATAAATCAGAAAAGAAAAGAAAAGAAACGAATGAAAAACAGACATCAAATCCCCGCACAAACAATTCCACATTTAAATAATGTCAAAAGAGAATTATTCAGTCGTCGGTATTTACTATGAATTTATTAAAAAGTGAATTAAAAATTTTGTAGGAAAATGAATTAAAGCCGATAAGAAGATAACAACTTTAAATTGTCTAGGCCAGAAACGAAACTCACAAGAAACGTGTTTGTGATTCCAACAAAAAAAAAAAATTAAATGCAATGAACTGATTTCGTTGTTAAATGTTCATAAATTAAAGCGAGCAGCATTTGCATATTTACATTTAACAAACAGTAAAAATGCATTCGAAGAAAAGTAAAATTTTTGTTGTTGTTATTTTTTTATTTGTTGTTATTTAGTGGGAATATAATACGTCATTTAAAGAAATTTGAGGCAAAGTGATAAACTGGGTTGGTGAAATGTTCTATCTGTAAAAGACATTTTATCGTAGTTGCAATTGGAAAAATTTCTGTAGAATACCCATAAACTGCAAATGGGTTCATATCATTTAAAATATATTTTTCGACGATTCTCATCTCGTTCATATACCAAATCAAACAACACTCCAATGGTCTACCTTCAGTTTCTTCCTATAAGCGTTGATGAATAAGAATATAAGGTAATAAGGGATTCTATTATAGATAAACCAGTAAGGAAAGGTCAAACGTCAGGCGGGCCGAGTATATGATACCCTACACCACTATGCGTATTTAGTTGGAGCTCACGTAACAAATAACTTAATATTGCGAATTTACTTGAAGTAGATCATACAAACTCTGAACCAAATAATATTGCTGTATAGTGCATGATATGATTTCGATAATTATTATATTAATCAAGAACAAGTAAAAAAACATTAAGTTCGGCCGGGCCAAACTTTTAATACCCTCCACCTTAGGGTAAAAGAAACATTAGAAGAAATGTGGCAAAAACCATTAAAATGCCGATTATGGGGAGGTACCGTTATATGGGGGCTATACCAAAACGTGGACCTATAATTACAATGTTTCGCCACCGGAGCTGGAACCCATTATGACCCACAAATACCAATTTTTAGACAAATCAGTGAAAAAATGTGGCAAAAACCGTCAAAATACCGAATATCGGGAGGTACCGTTATATGGGGGCTATATCAAATCATGGACCCATGCATGCAATGTTTCGCCACCGAAGCTGGAACCAATTATGACCAACAAATACCAATTTTCGAACAAATCCCTGAAAAAATGTGGCAAAAATCATCAAATTACCAAATATCGGGAGGTACCGTTATATGGGGGCTATACCAAAACGTGGACCTATAATTACAATGTTTCGCCACCGGAGCTGGAACACATTATGACCAACAAATTTTCAGACAAATCCGTGAAAAAATGTGGTAAAAAAAACTAAAATACTAAATATCGGGAGGTACCTTTATATGGGGGCTATACCACAACGTGGACCTATACATGCAATGTTTTGCCACACGCTCGGGGACCCGCTATGACCCACAAATACCAATTTTAAGACAAATTCGTGAAAAAATGTGGCATAAATCATCAAAATACCGAATATCGGGAGGTACCGTTATATGGGGGCTATATCAAATCATGGACCCATGCATGCAATGTTTCGCCACCGAAGCTGGAACCAATTATGACCAACAAATACCAATTTTCGAACAAATCCCTGAAAAAATGTGGCAAAAATCATCAAATTACCAAATATCGGGAGGTACCGTTATATGGGGGCTATACCACAACGTGGACCTATACATGCAATGTTTTGCCACACGCTCGGGGACCCGCTATGACCCACAAATACCAATTTTAAGACAAATTCGTGAAAAAATGTGGCATAAATCATCAAAATACCGAATATCGGGAGGTACCGTTATATGGGGACTATACCAGAACGTGGACCGATATATCTCATTTTCAATACCAACCATCCTAGACACAATGCAAATAGCTCTGCTAAATTTTGGAGCTCTACGTCAAATAATGTGGGCTGTATCGTGATTTCAACAGACAGACAGACGGACAGACAGACAGACAGACGGACATCGTTAAATCGACTTAGAATTTTATGCTGATTATGAATATATATACTTAATGGGGTCTAAAACGAATATTTAGGGATGTTACAAACCGAATGACAAAGTTAATATACCCTCCTTTCCAAGGTGGAGGGTATAAAAAAAGCTGTAACTTCGGCCGGGCCGAACTTTGAATACAGTTCATACATTGTTTATAAACGTACAAAAGCATTTAGGTGAGAATTTTCCAGAAAAAAAGTTATTCGTGATGGAATTCAATCGTGATAGTGTGATTTCTTTATATTTGGTTGGAAAACCACAAGGGGCTATCGTTAAAGCACTCCACCATTTAAATGTGAATAAATCTTTTGTTTTTCGTACCATCGCTCGTTACCGTGATACTGGAAGCGAAGCCCGACGTCAATGTGGATGGTAGAAAACAGCAACATCAGCAGAAATGGTTCGAAAAGTAATGAAGCGACTTGACCGAAACCCGCGTCGCAGTGTCCGAAAAATGGCTCGTGAGCTGAACATATCGAAATATGAGCTCGGGGTAAAGCCATTGAAATTCCAAAAAGTGCAAGAACTTACACCGCAAAAGAAAGATTTGCTTCGCTTGGCCGAACGTGGTGAACAGCCGAATTTGGTTTTCTCCGATAAGAAAACATTCGTTGTTCAGCAGTTTGTAAACAAGCAAGTAAAAAAGCTGTAAGTTCGGCCGGGCCGAACTTTGAATACCCTCCACCATTTGGAACGAATTTAGCAATTCTTAAAAACAATAAATTCCGCTAAAAATTCAGTTAAAATTTTAAAAATACCGAATGTGTAGGACCTGCATAGGTAACGTTTGTCATAAGTTATTGCAATATTCAAATGCGAAACTTAAAAAAAATCGGTGAATAATACAGCTAAAATCATCAAAATACCGAATATCGGGAGGTACCATTATATGGGGGCTATACGAAGACGTGGTCCTACACAGACTATTTTCTGTCTTAGGCTGTAGTATCCATTACGAACTTCAAATACCAAATTTGAAACAACTCCGGTGAATAATATCGCTAAAATCATCAAAATACCAAATATTGGGAGGTTCCGTTGTATGGGGGCTATACGAAGACGTGGACCTGCACAGACAATCTCCTGTCATAGGCTTAGCATCCCTTAGGAAAATCAAATACCACACTTGAAAGAATTCCCATTAATATTGTAGCTAAAATCATCAAAATACCGAATATCGGAAGGTACCGTTATATATCAAAACGTGGACCTACTTATACATACATTTGAGTAAAATTATATCAATCTACTTTAATTCGTTCGGAAGCTAGAGTGATTTCCACAGACGGACCGACGGATGGACATCGCTAAATCGAGATAGAATTTTATGCTAATCAAGAATGGGGTCTAAAATGTATTTTTCGAGGTGTTACAAACGGAATGACAAACTTGATCTACCCTCCATACTATGGTGGAGGGTATAAAAAATGATCGTGTTTACTTGCAATGCTGAAAATGTGCACCTTCGGCTGGCCATCAAAACTCAAGCATCGGCCATGGTTATGGTGTGTGCCGCCACAACAGCCGATGGTCGCTCTACGCTCGTATTATTCGGCCGTGGCATCAAAATAAATGCCGAATATTATTGCGAAAATATTCTGGAGGGTGTATTAAAGCCATGGGCACCCAAACATTTTGGCCGCAGACCTTGGACATTCTAACAGGACTCAGCACCATCGCACTCAGCACGAGCCACCCAAGAATGCTTACAAAATTAAGTTCCTCTCTTCATTTCCAGCGCACAATGGCCACCAAAAATCTCCGGATACCAATCCGTTGGACTATTGTGTCTGGAGTATTTTGGAAAGCAAGAACCTCAAGCAAGCGCTCCGCCGGGAATGGGCCAAAATACCGCAGAGCATCATTAGGTCAGCGTGTGACAATTTCATTATTAATATATATTTAAGATATATTTTAATTTGAACAGATTCTCACCAATTTCAATAGGGTTCGTCCTTGTGCCAAACAAATATTGTTTGGGAAATTTCATCTAAATCGGATAAATGCGAACAGCATTTTGTTCACAAAAATACAATGACGGAGAGTCGGATTGACATGCATAAATCGACTAAAAAAGTGATTCTATAAAGATCCTCTAGAGTAGCTATGGTTCTATCTCGCTTCCTTTTCCGTGTTACAGCCAAATGTACAAAGACATAATATAAAAATGGTTTTTATTGATCTATAATATAATTCGTAATTATCTGGAATTTTATTATCCAATTAATTGATTCAAAAGAAAGCAACTCAAATACTACAACAAATCAAAATAACTTCTGTAAAGTACCAGACAACAGACCAGCCAGCCAAATCACCGGAGTGAGCTGAATATTGGTATACCTTCCAATTATTGAATTAAGACACCTGTTGCATTTCAAATGCTTTCCAACAATTGAAAGATTTGAAATCAAATAAAAACAAAATTAATATTCAAATGTGATTTAATTTTTTAATAACAATTTCACTGAAAAATTTGGAATTAATGTGCGGTCGATGTGTCCCATGTCTTTGGACAAATAAGTGGCTACCGTTTTTATTTTGTTTTGTTTTTGGTTTAAAACAAAAAAAAGCAACAACAACTTGTGGATGACTCATTTATGTCTAGAATCGAAAATAAGAAACATACATTTTTACCTCCACCCAGATGCGTATTCCGCCAACGTTAATATGTAAAACGTTTGTCACAGTGGCTATTCTTGGGCCAGTGATTATGAGTATAAAGCAACCAGGGGGAAGGGGGACTATCGAACAAATTCCAAGAACTAAAAGTTTTCATTTTTGCCAAATTATCACGAATTAGTTGTTACGCTTTTTAATCATTGCTGTTAACATGGAAATAGATGAACACAGGCGAGTGCGTGGGTGGGTGGGTGATGGGTTTGGTTGAATGTTTGGACAAAATTCATGTTCGATCGAAATGTTATCAAATGATATGAGGATTAATTCCATACCATATCAGAAAATGTTATCAAGCAAACAATTTCTTTCTGTTTAACCTTGTTTTGACTGATAGTGTACAAAACTTAACATGATTCACTGTTGTGACAGTTGGGCTTTTTATTATTTTTAAATCATTAAACTTAATACCCTTCAACTTGAAAACTGATACCTCCTATTTCTTGGTGTAAGACAAACACAAAGAATTTTCTGTACAAAATACACCCGTCTTTTAGGTGTTTTATAAAATTATAATCTGCCTGTCCACCTGTCTGTCTGTTTTGAAAAGTTAGCATTTTAATCCAAGTTTATGATCTCTTTTTTGTCTTATGCTTTATTCGGAATGCAGTTCGTCGTTGTGTTGCCCCTTACAAAAATAGCAAGACAAAAATTACAAAAAGTACTAAATGTCATAAAATACCACTAGAAGTGCCATTAAAGTCCAAATAAGCGGTTGTAAATTTCACGATTAAAGACTACAAGTTGATAGTTTTATAACACGTCTTCTTGCAAACAAAACGCTGAAAGATAATTAAAAGAAACATTTTTTTTTTAAATGACAACAAAGTCTAAAGCCACTTTGTGGATGACATTAGGGTTCTTAAGTGGACATTGTATGGTTGGAGGGACAGTTGGGTCGTACAACACAAGACAAGCTTAATGGAATGACGTCATTAAAACATAGTGCAATTACAAAAAACTATGCCTGGGACTCTTAGTTGGATTTTCCAAGAACATTTTTATGCTGGGAGATTTTTATGCTGAGATATGAGACAATACATGCATACATATGTGTGTATAAATGTGTAGACTCACAAAATTATTCCACTGCTCCATTGATATGTGCACGGATTTTCGTAGGTGAAAGGGTTATCGGAAAAGTTTTTACGTCTTTCCTAAAAATACATTCCGTTTCTAATCATTTTAAGGAGCACTACTTAGTCCATTTGGTGTCTATGCGAAGACATTCTTGTCGTTTATGGGACCTTTTGGTCGTCTATGAGATAATTGTCTATTTTCCGGTCGTCTACAGGAAGATCTTCCGACCATCAATGGGAAGATATTACGGCCTCCTGGTCGCCCATGGGAAAATCATCCGCCATCTATGAGAAGACCTTCTGGTCGTCTATGAGACCGCCTGATCGTCTTTGAGAATACCTTCTGGTCGTATATGAAAAGACCTTCCAGCCGTCTATGAGAAAATCTGGTCATTTATGGGAAGATCTTCTGATCGCCAAATGAGAAGACCTTTTGGTCGTCTATGAGAGGACCTTCTATCATCTGTTATAAGCCTTTTTTGTGGTCTATGAAATGCCATGTGGTCGAATATAAGAAGACATTCTGGTTGTGTTTGAGAAGACCTTTTGGTCATCTGTGAGAAGATCTTCTGGTCGTCTGTGGGAATAGAGGGTAAGATGAAAAAACTGCAACCAACTTCAGACTGCTTTCATTTCTAAGCCACTCGTCCGACAGCTGTTAAAATTATTCCAGTGACAGCTCATTATATTGTTTACAATTTTGTGACAATTTTCCAGAAAAGAAGTTTTTCCTGATGGTATTCAAGCGTGATAGTGTGATTTCTTTATATTTAACTGGATAACCACAAGTGGCTATCTTTAGAGCACTTCAGCATTTAAATGTGAATAAATCTTTTGTGTTTCGTACCATCGCTCGTTACCGTGATATTGGTAGCGTAGCCCGACGTCAAGGAAGTGGACGGAAGAAAACAGCAACATCAGCAGAAATGGTTCGAAAAGTAAAGAAGCGACTTGATCGAAAGCCGCGTCGCTGTGGCCGAAAATGGCTCGTGAGCTAAACATATCGCAATATTCCATGCGGTAAATATTCAAAAATGAGCTCAGCCATTAAAATTCCAAAAAGTGCAAGAACTTACACTGCAAATGAAAGAAAATAGACTCAAAAGAGCTAAAGAGTTGCTTCGCTTGTCCGAAAGTGGTGAACTGCCGAATTTGGTTTTCTCCGATGACAAGTCATTCGTTGTCCAGCAATTTTTATACAAACAAAATGATCTTGTTTACTTGCCAAAGGAGTCAGCTGAAAATCTGAACCTTCGGTTGGCCACCAGAACTCAAGCGCCGGCCACGGTGATAGTGTAGGACGCCATAACATCCGATGGTCGCTCTACGCTCGTATTAATCGACGGTTGGTATCAGCATAAATGCCGAATATTATCGTGAAAATATTCTGGAGGGTGTATTAAAGCTTTCGGCACGCAAACTTTTTTACCGCAGACCTTGGACATTCCAACAGGACTCAGCACGCGCCACCCAAGAAATTAAGTTCCACGCTTCATTTCCAGCGCACAGTGGCCAGCAAAATCTCCGGATACCAATCGGTTGGACTATTGTGTCTGGAGTATTTTGGAAAGCATGGTTGGCACTAAAAAATACCAAAGTGTCGATCATCTCATGCAAGCGCTTCGCCGGAAATGGGCCAAAATGCAGCAGAGCAACATTCAAGCAGCGTGTGACGGTTTCATTGGCCGTTCGTGACCATTTCGAAGAAATCTAAAATTATTTTAAAATTTGATGCTATTTCCGACATTTTTTGCTTTCATTCAATAAAATTTTACTTTGTTGCAGTTTTTTTATATCACCCAGTACAGAAGATTTTCAGACAGCTTATTAGAAGACCTTCTGGTCGTGTATAGAAAGACTTCCTGGTTTTCTATGATAAGACTATCTGGCTTCGTATGGAAATACCTTCTCGCCTTTTTTGGGAAGATCTTCTGGTGTTCAATGGGAAGAAATTCTGTTACTCTTTGAGAAAACCATTGTGTTATTTGGGAAAGATGATCAATTTTTCTATTAGATATAATTGAAACCCTTCTATAAGAAAATATTATGCTTATATGATATGACCTTCTTTAAGAAGAACATTTCACATTCTCTGAGAATGTCTCTCTGATTTTCTATTATAAGCTTTCCTACTCTTCTATGAGAAGATTTTTGGTGTTTTCTTGAATGGTATTTTCTCGTTTTCTATAAGTTCTCCTTAACGAATACCATCCATCAGAAGACTTTGTAATATTGGGAAGAATACTTTCCGATTTTCAAATATATTATTAGAAGAGTTTTTGTCTTCTAAGAATACCTTTTGACCTTCTATAAGACATTCCGAATTGTTTGTCCTGCTGTAAAGATCTACTCTTGGAAGATAGATTTTCGGTGTGAGAACAATGATTTTGGAAGAAGACTTTTAGGTCTTCTGACCATTTCTTTATACAAAAATACGTTGTGCTCGTAGTATTTTTTTTGTGCTACACATTAAATTTTATTATAACACAAAAAATATTCATTCCACCCTAATAAGTATTCGTAACACTCCTTTGAGCTGTTTACTTAAAGCAGGCGGAGATCAACATCGGGCTAATTTCACAAAATCAATCCTCCACAGCTGGTGGCGAATAATTTATGTGGAAGGAAACTCAACGTCTGAACACATATCAACACATACGTAAATGATGAACAAAGAGGAGAGAATTTCTGAACGAAAAATAAAGAACAGACAGACGACAACTTACCCAGATCAACGGCAGAGATTACTAGGAATAAAACTAGTAATTTATACAGTGTTGCTTTAGATGATTTCACCGGCATTTTGAGCAAAGTAATTTTGCCACAAATCAATATTTTTCAAAATACACACACACACAAACCCGTAGAATGACACAGAATATGTCAAGTAAAAATTAGCTCAGCTCAATGTTTCTCTGTGTTTCTCTTTTTTTAAATTTTATTCGACGCGGTAAAAATTGCCAATAAACACGGCTCTTTGACGAAACTATGGCCCGCGATACGTTATCAATCAAAATGCGACAGCTCTAATACTTGGCTTTGTTAAAATTGTAGATAAACACAACTGGTTGTGGCAAAAGCAATCTATAAATGATAACAAATCGTTTGTTTTATTAAAATCAAACAAAGTAATGTTTTTTGCACACCATGAAAAGACAAAATAAATATTTGTTTTCTTGAAGACACTTGGTTTGCCTCAGGGGTTTTCTTTTGTTAAAACAAGTCTGGGATGTTGAGTACGTTGGTTTTATTTTGTTTTAATATTTATTTAACGCCAAATGTCAAATTCGTTTTCGACAAATTTTTTCAACGTAACATCCACTCTCTGAAAAACAACCGTTACGATCAAATGTCCACAGACAACTGTTTCGGTTTGTTTGGACCAAGTCGTTTGTTTTGTGTTTATCTGATCGGTGTGGGCTTCTTAACTTGTTCAACCAGTTGAGTTATACAGTTTGTGACTCTCTCTCTCTCTCTCTCAATCAGACTTATTTTGTAGATCTCTCAATTACTAACTTTTATAAACTCTCAAAATGGTATGTGTATTTTAAAAGAGTAACAGAATACATTCTTTTAATTCTCTACAGTGTTGTCAACACTTCAGGCACACAAATGAATATATTATAAAAAATTCAAAACTGGGGCGAAATCACCACAGTCGTAATCGATTATTCAGGCATCGCAATGTAGTTTATACGGATCACCACAGACGTTATCGAAATCTTTTTACTCAAAGTTCTACACGATAGGTAGTATGCTATCAAAAACCAAGTATGTAGTGATTTTCACGCGGAAAAAGGTAAACCAAAGGGAACAAGAATTTGGTGAAGAAGTAGATATTTAAAGGCTTTTGACAGATGAAAATGTCTTTTAAATCTATGGATGTTAAAAACAACATTAGTTAAAAGCACTCACTTTCCCTACTTCAGGCTATAGTAAAGGACTGCTTTTGTCAAGAATATTTTTCCTTATTAATGCCATTCCTCTGAATCCGAAAACGAGGAAAACCAACAAACAAACACTTGGTTTCATAATATTTTTCTGCACATATATTTTAACACTTGTTTTGGTTTTGCCGACAGATGTATACCCTCAACCAATTTTTCGATTATTTAAAAATATTTTGATTTCTGTTATGATTATTCAAATATTTAACCCTTATGCAGTAGGTTCCGATGGAATGGACCAATATTGGCCATTTCGTATCGGACTTAAATAAATATAATATAAATATTGCGACGTGCTAGGTTTGGACGGCGTTGCGTTAATTTGAGCTTCATGGATACTCAAGAAATTGAGCCTTTGTAGAGGCCTGAAGGAGTGAACCGATATACACAACAGATCTTGTGTTAGTGAAAATAATGGAATGTTCGAAATATAAAGAGAACCTGATGCTTTTTCGGAACACCAGATCTTGGGTTTATGAAAATATTGGGATGCGCGAAATTTTAAGACAATCGGATTCTTATATCACATTTTATAAGACTTATATAATTATTCAAAATTTTTACCCTTTGTGGGTACTTGATAGAGTGAACCGATATATTCCATCTTAACGCCAGACCTTGGGTTAATATAAATATTGGGATGTGTGAAATTTAAAGACAATCGCACTCTTACATCACATTTTATGAGAGTTGTAATTATTGAAAGTTTTGACCCTTTGTGGGGGAGATACCAGAAGGAGTGGACCGATATTGTCCAGTTTCACACCAGACCTAGCACTGATGCAAATATTAGGATTTGCAATGTTGGAGCAAAATCGGATTATCGTTTCTCTTTCTGTGCAAAAAATATATATTTTTTGCAAATTTTGACAATTTGTGGGGGGGTGCCAGAAGGAGTGGACCGATATTGCCCATCTCCGAACTCGATCTAAGTTTGACAAAAATATTATGATGTACCAAGTTTGGACCAAATCGGATACACCCTTCGAGAGTTATCATGCGCACCAACCAGCCAGACACACGGACGGACGGACATCGCTAGATCGACTCCAAATGTTCTGAAACGGATTTGGTCCAAAGAGACCTAGGGTCTAAAACCGTTATTTCGACTAGACACGTTTTGGCCGTACCAAATGATATATACCCTCTGTAACCATATGACTGAGGGTATACAAATATTAGGTCGAATGCGGTGATCCGAAAATGTAAAGCGATCGGAATGTTTCTCTATACGAAACAGAACTCTATGACGAATGCGGTGATTTAGCCCTGGAGGCTCTGGAATAGAATAAATGTTCAATGGTTATTATCTGTATAAAATTATTTAAATAACTAAATTGTTGTTTGTAATTTTGCAACATTAGGTCTATCTCGTTACCATAAATTTGTAACAATTATTGCAAATTGTAATTATAAGTCGTCACTTAACCATTTTGTGGAAAAGGGAGCTTCGACAGTTTATTTCTTGGTTTTTTCAAATTTTTATTTGCAATCACCTGCAAATCTCATTTTTTAACTTATTTTCTTGTTAGTTTTTTATAAAATACAAAGGTTTTACGTGATTTGTTTTTTTTTTTCTATAGCGGACGTATTTTTGTTTGGACAAATCAGCTGATCGCTTGCAAGTTTTTGCACCAATGTATGTAATATTTATTATTTGTAATATTTTCTAAATTGAATACTAAATAGGTAAAGCTGTTATACAAAAATATAATTGAAAATTACAGAAAAGGCAATTGGTCTATTCCAAAACTTCAAGAATGAAAAGTTTTTACTACGATAAGCGATTCTTCCCTTTATGGTATCGAAAAAATGCAAAACTAGCACATTATTGCAGGTACTAAAACAAAGCAGCCGATGGAAAAGAAAGTTGCTAAAAATAATTGTCTTTTATAAATACAACAGGCAAGTACAAAATTTTAGCCAGTAAACTCGCCAAGTTTAAATCAGGACTAAAACTTACTTTCTGTTTGTACAATGATTCCAAATGCGTCTAAGTGGTTTGTTTTTTTTACACATCTACGTCGTTTTATATTCTGAGCAAAAAATGAACTCATGTTTTATTTTCTGTGAATAGTTATACAATCATGTTCTTGAATTGCGTTATCTCCTTTTCAAAACTCGCCAGAAAGACTAAAAAACCGCAAAATTGGCATTACTCATTCCATGAAAGTAAATGGAGATTACTCATTTCTGCTCATTACACAAAATATGTTCTCAAATTTTCATTTCTTTGCGAAATTAAAATAAACTAAAAAATATGAAATGGTTATTTATTATTATTTCCTCTATATATATTTCCACATAACTTAGTGGATTTTATTTGCAAATGGCCAAAAATTCTAATTTTGTTCATGTTATGTAATGTCAGGTGTGGGGTTCGAACCCACGCTCCCTCTCGGGAACCAGAGCTTAAATCTGGCGCCTTAGACCGCTCGGCCAACCTGACCTGTTGCCGTTTCCATCAAATTTTCATTGAAAAATAAAAAAATATATATGGGTGGACGCACACAAAGAGGAACAGAAATATTCTATTAGAAAAACATACATATGCTGTCATATGTGTGTCATTCGGGTGCCTGTCGTGGATCTGCGTAATGTTATTAAAAATTCGCTAATAATAGCATATTGGAAAATGTTGCTAAAACAAACAAATTTCGCAAAATAAACGCGAAAAAAGATCTTAGTAGATCAAATATCGTGGGAAAAAAGTGTTCAAAAATAAAAATGTAATTTAAACAAAAATTGAATATGTGTGCAATACATTTTTAATGCCTTTTAGCTCTAATTATTGTAATAAGTTGATGATTTTATAATACAAAGATTAATTTAAAATGTTAGTTAAGCATGAGGAAGTGAAATAGCGTTAGGTTCAGCCGAGCCAAACTTTTCGTAATCTCCACCATTAGAAAATAAAAATATGTCCGAAAGCAACCATTGTGCATAAAGAGGGGCTCTAGCCCTTCCGGCTACGTCAGTGATTCCATTAAAAAAGTATCTTAAGTCATTGAAATACCAAACATCGGAGGGGCTATAAGAAAGAAATGCGTATATAGATTCGCATAATTATATAGATTCGTAATTCGCTTCCCGATAAATTTTATTATTCTATTTTGGTGTAGCTTTATATATGCAGCAAATTGAAAGCAATGTCATAGAAAAAGGAATCTTGATAAATAATTTATTAGTTGTTTTAGATAAAATCATTTCAAATAAAATTCAATTCATCTCTATTAGGTGTATAATCTGGAAGTAATTCCCAGATTTTCATACGCCAACGTTGTCTCCTTTCTTCGGTTTCCTTCTCCAGCTGCAATATTTGTGGTAAACGTTGCCAACAGTCTAATACTTTCCATTTCAAATGCCTAAAATTTTGAAAAAAAAAATTATACAATTTTTATTTCATTTGAACAACATTCTTGGAAACATTGGTTTGTTTTAAATTTAATAGTTTTATTTTTATTAATTCAACATTTTGTTCATCATTAATTATTAGGAATGTAATTAAATGTTTCTTAACAAGAATATTCCCATCATAGTTGATGCTCATGTTAAGAACTCTGTTATTTTTTATTGATCATGATCAGGGATTAAATTAAATATTTCTTAACAAAAATGTTAATTTTCCTAACAGGAAATATTTTATTTTTCCCTTGATCTATCATTATAAAAACCAATTCTTTTCAACCAAAAAGAAAACATTAAATTTCCGTTAAATCGGATTTCTTTGCTACTCACCATTCATGATGCATTGTGGCCTGTCTCATTTTGGTTTCTTCAATCATTTTCATGCGTTTAGTGTAAGCAAACCATTTGCCAAACATTGATTCGGTCAATTTCAATTCGTGATAATCTACGGCTACATGATATTTGCTTCGCTCCTGTTCGGCATAGAATTGCCAAAAGTGAAGATATTTTCTCTTCAAAAGTTGTTCATAAAAATCGTCAGCCTTTTGACAACGACGAGCTTTAAGAATGCGGTAGATACTAAACCAAGCTTGAAAATAGGTTCTCTTATAAAGAGAATGTCGCAAGTCTTCGCATTTTCGTATATTATCCCTCTTACGTTGTATCAAACGTTTAAAACCCTCCATGCCGATGCGTTTCAAAAGCAAGCGTCTATAGAAATCGTGAGCTTTTTTTTGATTTTCTATGTAACGTTGTCGCTCACGTTCTTTAATGATTTTAGCCATCTTCTCTAGACGTCTTTTTTCCTTAAGGGCCTCGATGCGCAAACGCTTGGCTTCTTCATCTTCTTGGCGCTGTAGAGAACATTTGTTTTAATTTTGCCTAATAAAATTTTTCATTTTACCTTAGCTTCCTCCAGAGCCATTTTCTGTGCCTCTCTTTCGGCTTCTTTTTGCAATCTGCGTTGCCGTGCCTGCTCATGCTTTATACTTCGCTCTAGTGCCCTTTCTTGCATACTTTGCAAAAATTTGGGCATCAGCATAGCTTTACATTGTAAATTGGCTAAACGTTCGTCTTCCTTATCGCGGAGATTGCCAATCAATTGCAGACATTTGGCTTTAGCCTTCGATTTTGCATCTCCCGAACGTATAACGGATTTCAATTCTGTTTTCAATTCCATCCGGGCTTCTCTAGCTTCCTCCGATAATTTGCTTAATTTGAGTTCCATAATAATTCGTTCCTGACGTTCCAATTTCAGACGCTGCAAATCGATGATGTCCTGTTGGACTTTAATTCTGTGAATAAAGAACGATAATTATTCTAATGTTAAAAGAAATGTGTAAAGGTAGAACCAGAAGGTTAAATACTAACTTATTTTGATATTTCTTATTTATTTTCAAGTTTTCAACGGTATTATGTTTTGTGGGCGCTATCGAAGAGGTAAACTCGCTATCTTCTCCCCCGGCTTGTTGTAGCTTTTCACATTTTTTGCGACGACTTTTCTCCATACGTATTTTATCCAAAAATATGTTAATTTTTCTTACACGATCAGCATGTCCATCAACATGTTCCCTTTCGATTTTCTCGACATGGGTAAAATGCATCCATTTAAGAAAATATCTGCGCATTACAGTTATTCGAGAGTGATCATTTATTTCAAACAATTCTTCAATTATTTTATTTTGTTCTTGATTGGAAGATAAATCATCCCCCTCCATGTGTGCTTCCGTAGAACCAGAGCTTATGGAAAATAAAATATTTTTAGGATTTTCATCTCTTGGTCTTTTAATAAAGTTTGGTATTTTTCCTTCAACAACTAAGTGTCTACTAATCGGATTGGTTTTTGCGGCGGAACTGTTGGATCCCATAATTGATAATGTTGTATCCAAAGAATCGATTTTAAGTAGAGTACCATCTTCCAATGTAGATGAGATATTTAAGGATTGTTCATTTTCTTCTTCCCGTTGTAGCTCCATCAAAGCTTCCTCAGCTAGTTCAGATATTACGGAGTCTATACCATCACTGGTATTGGAACAAGTTGAATGTTCTCTTTGAAATTGGCAAACGCTAACATCCTCATCAAATCGTACACAGCGCAGATGGAGGCCATTATTTTGTTCCAGATTCTCTTTCAGCGGTTGTAAAACTTCGTCTGTATTGGCAAGGGGACTAGGTGTTCGCTCGCGAGTATTTTTTGAAAGAACTTGGTAATTTTTATCAAACAAAAGGATTTCGGGAAATCTTGCTGTAATATCATCAACTGGTTGTTCCAACTCTTTAGTATCATTTTCCATTTCTTTATTGTCTAATTTGGATTGATTTTGATCCACTAGCTGAATGTTTTCAGAACGAACAACAATTTCACTTTCCATTGTTTTCAATTCCAGTTGAAAATCATTTACGAACAAATCATTTACCTGCTGCAATGCTTCAATGGGCGTACTATAGAAATCCTCTATATGACGCTGTGATGTCTCCAAGCTATCCATTATACCTTGGTTATCGATCAACAAGGAATTGATTTTCTTTTCACAAAGACGATTGCGTTGATTTTGTTTTTGTAAGTGTTGACGAAATTGTTGTAATTGATTTTCAATATAACGCTCCTCCACGACGACATTATGGGATTTACATTTGTCTAAATTTTTCGAAAAAGCTACCGTAGCCAAGGGTAATTTTCTTGGTATTTGCTTGAACTATTTAGGCACACACATAAAAATAAATCTTTATTAAATGAGATATGGTTATTATGATCTTGACTTACCATTTCATGTCTTAAATCCATTACCAAGAGAGGATCCAATTTATTTTCAGGCTTAATCGCTCCATTCATTAGGTTTTGTTGATTCTTTCCCACATAGTCGATCTCTATGAAACGCTTAACTGTTTCGCATTTAAGATTAGCCGAATTACCACTACCATGCCGCTTTCGTATACGATCCCACCGTGTATCCTTATTGTGAGATGTTATTTTATTTCGTTTAATGTGCGTCATTTTGTCTGCTTTAAATTAAACTAAAACTATAATTTGTCTGTTCTCTACAAAATTTTTAGTTTTTTTTAGCTGGAAAAAAATATTTGTTTACTTCAAAACAGCCGTTGCCAAGGAAACAGTCCGAAATTATCAATTTTATTTTATAAGAATAGAGTGGTGATAACGGCTCCCTTAAATTTACATTAAAACTTGACAACTCTTTAGATACTTTAAGGTAAATAATTTCAAAGAATAAAGCGCGAAAGAAAATATGATATTAACATACGTTTAACATTTACACATGAAAATAACTTACAGCAAGTTACGTACATATATGTCTTAAGTCGGAAATTCCTTTTTTTTTAATTGACACTTGTTAATGTGTTGGAAAAAAATTAAAGTGTCTTCAAAGCAAATGCTCGTGTCTTTGTGTGGTCTATTTTTTCGATTATGCATTCTCATGGTAGAAAAATACAGGTAGATGCATCAACGCTTGAGAGCATTGATATGTCAAAAAATTTTAAATTTCATTTTCAAATATAAGTAGATTTTTATATGTTTTCTTATACGACAAAAATCGTGGGTTGTAAAGACATGCATTTTTCAACAATTTTTACAAATTTAAATAATTTTTCATTCAACATTTTTAATTCCAAAATTGGTTTGACAGTTCATTGTCCCAGCAGCTGCGTAGATGCGTCTACCTATATTCTTCTATCATGATACATTCTCCTGATTTAGACGAGTTTACTTACGGTAGGTTTGAACTTGCCTTGCATTTTTTCATCATTGTTCTTTTATTATTTTTTAAATAATTCAAATTTATATTAGGCAAATTTTCTGGCGGCAATTCTTTGTTTGTAGGAGAGGGCTCGTACTGGCAATATGGTTTATGCCAGGCGAGTATAAAAATGAATGAATACAATCTAATTTTTATAGATATTCAAGTAACCACAATTGTGCCGGCCGGCATAAATTGCATTGGATAAAATTATGGAATATTTGCATGTACATTGGCAACCCTCGCTTACTGTGTGCACAAGAAAATGCAAAGAAAAAAAGAGAGAACAGCTGACTCTTTACATTAAAAACAACCGAAAAACTTCGAACTTTTCCAACTTCATTGGCAAGATGCTTGCTGGAAGACCTCTAAACCTTCTAAAATGTAGTTTACTTGGAGCTAAACACATTTGCAATACACAAACAACAAATCCGGCCAATGCTAATAGAAACTTATGGGCGTACGTTGCAATTGCTTTCAACCGTGTAGATATAGATCGACAGAGATTAGTGGGTGCTGATCGTCTTTGTGCAGAATGGGTTATAAAGAACGGTGGCGGCATTTGTACGGTAGATGCTCCAAGCCGCCTTATCAAAGACTACAACATACTACCTCCAGAACATTACAGGTTCAAAGTGAAAGTTGTTGATGGTTCTGGTGCCTCACTAATGAAAATCGGGTTGGATCACTTCAAGGGTTGCAATCACATCGATACCGTTATCTTTCACAAATGTAAACACCTGGAATCGGATGGTTTAAATGGCCTTGTCCACCTCAAGGAAACACTAAAGTCACTGCAAATATCGGAATGTGATAACATTAGTGACGATGGTCTGGCAGTTATTGAAGAAATAAAAAATCTCCAAGAGTTGCGCATATTCAATATGCGTTATGTAAAAAATATCGATGACGTTATACAGAAATTTAAAAAAGCATTGCCAAAATGCCGCATTGAAACAACGGAAAAGGCTGACGAGAAATAGGCTGATTGTCTGTTTTAATTAAAAATTCTTTTTAATTTATTAACATTATTTATTGCATAGAATAGTTAAGCATATACGAAATACAGACAAAAATTGAATTGTGGTAAGTCTTTTTTTATTTTTGTTGAGATAGGGAGTTTTTTTTTTTCAATTTTATCATCAATGATCATTTTTAGTGTTTGCACGACAAAAATTTCAAACTTGGGTTCATTAGCAATTCCATCTATCGTTTTTCTTTCTAATTTGGCATTAATAAGCCTAGTCGCTGCTTATGTACTCACACCTTTAGTCTAATAAACTGATATTTTGAATATTTTGGCTTATGTTAATGAATGATTCCGATTTAAAATAGTGCAAATACTGAGTAAAGACTTGTAAAACCAAATAAAAAATATTAAAATTAAAATATTAAATCAAACGATGTTTCAGATAGATTAGAATATCTGATTGGAAAAATGTTTGAAGGCTCTATGATCCTAACATCGTTAAGTATAAAAAAGAAAGGTGGAGTGAAAACCCTTTTTTACAAAGGAACATATCCACGTATACTTCTTAGCGGCAACAAAAGAAACACTTATGAATGCATATATTTTTATTCACATTTTCAAAAACATGTTTTAAACATGATACCGTACCTGTATCAATCATGATTTATATCTTATTAAGTTTAATTTCTTGCTACTTTTTGGACCATAACTAGATAGTTTTAGATAGGAAACACACGTTTAATAGTTTTCATTTATATTTTCCTTTATTCCATTTTATTTATACCAAATGTATTTAATATCGCTCTGCTAATGAATAACGGGAGTTAACATATCTTGGTATATTTTACGTTAATCTTTAAAAATCGAGAACATTTTGTGTGAATAATAAATTAGAAATACTTAGAAAATACCTTTTCGAAACAATCTCTCCCTTTGTTTTGTCATACAAACTGCTAATGATATTGTTTTAAAATATTTATCCGTTTAAGCGTATTACAAGAAAATGCATAATTATCGTTTTCAAATCGTACTTAAACTAGAGGGGCGTAATTTCCTGGATTTTATTTTGGTTTAATATTTAAGCAGCTGCAGCATCTTTCTTGTTACCCTTGCCAGCCTTTTTGTTAGTAGCAGCAGCAGCTTCAACATCAATTGGAGCAGGTTTTACAAATGGAATTTCGTCCTTGTATTTTTCAGGCATATATTTCTTAAGTGGCTCTGGCACCTTAACGCCTGTCTCTGTTTGATGTGTTTCCAAAATGGCACAGATGACGCGTGTGGCAGCGCACATAGTGGCATTCAACATGTGCACATAGTCGACAGCGGCATTCATTTTCTTTGTTTGACCATAACGTACTAACAAACGTCTGGCTTGGTAATCCAAACAATTGGAACACGAGACCAATTCACGGAATGCGCCGCTGCCGGCAAACCAGGCTTCAAGATCCAATTTCTTAGCAGCAGCATGATTAAGAGCACCCGATACGATGTTGACAATACGGTATGGAATGCCCAAAGATTGGCAGAAGGTTTCAGCATTGCTGATCATTTCATCCATCATTTCCCAAGATTTATTGTCATGCGGTGAGGTCAAGACGAATTGTTCAACTTTTTCGAATTGATGTACACGGAAGATACCACGGGTATCACGACCGTGAGAGCCAACTTCTTGGCGGAAACATGTTGACAAACCGGCATATTTAATGGGCAATGAAGCTTCAGGAAGCCATTCATCGCGGTGATAGGCAGCAATTGGTTGTTCGGAAGTCGCAATCAAGTATTTTTCATCAGTGCCAGCTTCTTCAGCCTTTTCACTACCTTTACCAATAACCTTGTAGAGTTCCTCATCGAATTGCGACAATTGGGCCACTTCTTGCATAACCTCTTTGCGCATAAAGAAGGGTGTGTACAAAGGAACATAGTCCTTGGCGTACAACAAATGCAGGGCGTGTTGAATCAAAGCTTGCTCCAAAAACACAGCGGGGCCAGTTAGGAAATAACCACGTCCTCCAGATACAACCGCTCCCTTATCACCATTCATACCATCAATCATAACAATCAAATCCACATGTGAGTACTTGTTACGTTTTGTACAATCGCCAAATGTCCTCTCGACTTTGTTTTCTTCCTCATCATTGGATACTGGGACAGATTCATGCAAATGATTACCAACTTCCCTCAGAGCTTGATTCCTCTTCTGTTCAGCTTCTTGCAATAGTCTCTCGTTTTCAGCCATGGCTTGGTCAATTAGTACACGAACTTTTTTAATTTGATTCACCGTCAGCTGGGATAATTTCTCAGCATTGAGTTCGGTCAAATCTTGCTGGACATCAGCCGGAACTTCTTCAGCCTCATCGCCTTGAGGTTCCTTTTTCTTCATTTTCTCACCAATCACCTTGCTACAGACATTCTTCACCTTATTCAGATTATCGGCACGATGACGTCTTTGACGCCACTCGGTGTCTTGACTTATGACAGTCTCGACCAGAGCCACGTCTTTGAAACGTTTTTCTTGATTTTTGCGAATGGCATCGGGATTACCACCCTTGTCACTGCGGAAGAGATCCAAATCCAAAACCATTCTTATTGAAAAAGATGATGAAATCGGCAGTAAATGTCCTTATTTCTCCGTAAACAGAAAGCAATGCCAATCGTTTTGCTTCTTCGTTCGGTGAATCACAACGTGGCTACCAAATGGATTTTTTTTTTCTTATTTTTGCGAAACATATGCTTCATGGGGTTGCCATGAGTTTAGTTTAAATTCTAATGTGTGGTTTAGAAACCGTAAAAACAAAAGTTCCTTCATGATACAATAAAAAAATGCAACCTATGCAGTCATATGTTTGCAATTATATTCAAAATTATACCTACATTTCATTGCTAAAACGTATATTCATAAATTCATAGTATATATAAATACGTGATGGGACCCTTTTTAAATGAATTTAGATTTGACAAGGTAAATAATAAAGAAGGCAAAGCGAAATATCATAATTTGAAATGATGTAAACTTGAATTAGTTGTACTATGATTCCAACATGATGTATATTCTAGCCTATAAAATTTTGGGTAAATAGACCGGCGAAATAAAATGTCTGGTGGCCGTGACAAATAAACGTTTATTTTTGGAATTTCTGTGAAGTAAATTGTAAATTGTTAATAAGCGAAGACTACAAAGGCACTTCAATCGGTGAAACATATATATATAGAAGCTATGCTGACTTAATCGAACGGAATGATTTTATTAAATTCACAAAAAAGAACTTGGCCACAATGTTGAATATGACATAAAAACGAAGCATTGTCTCATAGTCAATGTGAAAGGGATTAAATAAATGGAACGAATTTAAATAGACTTTTACCAAATGTGGCAACCGTGCACAAAAAATGTGGCAATCATGCACAGCACGATTGGTTTAACGTCAGAAAAATCATTCCACTTTGTTGTCCACTATATTGTATTTGTTGTCGTTCTACTATTTGTTCTTTTCGTACAATTATAGTACACTCTTCCAACACCACCCCCATATCTCAATTCCAGATACCAACAGAGATTTCAATATTAAATGTAAGGAATCCAGCTCTATCCCTTCACCTATGGAACAATGAAATAAAGGTAACCTCATTTCATGTAATTTAATCTGGTATTGTGTGTATTCAATGGATTTATGATTTTGACAATGAGATGTCAAATGTATAAATTTGAAAAAAAAATGTAAACTTATGATTACATGAATTTACCTTCTTAGTCATACCATGCCTTAATCCAATACCAAATTAAGTACCATTGATTACTTTTTTACCAACTTGTACTAAAGGCTTGGCATATTAATGTCAAATTATAATGGAAAACGGCGGCAAGATTTTAGTGCGGCTCTGTAATCACTTTATGAAATGCCACAAAATACGAATAGAAGAAGAATAGATAAGAAGAAGAGTCTCAATTACTTTACTTCAATTTTTTTCTTTTTTCTGGAAAAAGACAAAAAGACGGGCAATTTCAGATTTTGGAATATTTCAACACTTTATTCATTCACCAGATTATGAGTATTATTGAATTTGAAATTGATGAAGTACGTAAACTTTGTGAAAATGTTGTTCCCAACTCAAAAATAATTGCGTGCACTGCAGCTGCCCCAGCGCCCTTTATACGTGTTGATATCCACGAGAATCAGTTCTATCGTCAACTTACAGCGTGTCTTCGTTTTCCAAACGATTATCCCAAAGAAGCGGTTCTAATTGAATTGAAAAGCAAAACTCTTTCGGATAAGTTTCTTCAAGGTTTGACAAGTGTTTGCGAAAAACAATTGCAACAAGAGTTCTTGGGAAAACCTCAGTGTCTGAAGGTTCTCAAGTTTTTGCAACAGTATGTTCAAGATAACCCGCTGTGCGTATGTTTCGATGAGATACAGCAATTGCGTAAAGATTTGGGACCTGAAGCAACTGCGGACCAGTTAAAGCTGAAACAGAAAGCAAGTGCGATTCATTTCACCGCTAAAGGTGGGGAGTATTATTACCGATTAAAGGCTGTGGTACCTGATGATTATCCGCAACATTGTGTTGAATTGCAACAGCAGGAAACAAATCTTCCTGCCATTTTGTTGCGATATTTAAATGGCCAATCACGTGAAATTGCTCGTCAATGCGTAGAGCCGCCGTTGCGTATGCCCAAAGGAAAAACTATAGCCGATTTTCAACCAGTACCCTCGCTTTATAGAGCGTTAAAGTTTTGCCTTGAGGCGACAAGAGGATTTCATATGGAGGAATGCCCTATATGTGGACAATTGGTATTACCTCGTAACCCAAATGATTTGGAGAAGGACGAAAACAAAGACTCGTATGTTGAACGTGTATATTGCGGCCATTTGTTCCATCAGGGTTGCCTGAAGTTGTACCTGTCAGAGCCTCCATTTCCCAAGGGTGGGAAACTTTGTCCAGCTAAACGTCGTCATTTACGTTCGGATGCTACATATTATATGGGCGGCATGCAAGGTTCAAAAATGCCCAAAATATTACCCGATGAAGGTGGTGCTTGCGGTATACGTTTAGCCCATGATCGTTGGGTGGTCAATGTGAAAGTTGCCGAAAGTCGTTGGGCCCAAAAACAAGCACGTCAGCGAGAATTGGAAGAGGTTGTGGATTTCTTGAAGTGATTTAAAAAGAGGCTTTATACGACATTTACATGACAAATTTTTAAGAAGAAATCATCAAATTCAATATTATGTGACAATGTCTCTTTTTAATAAAATTATTCCTTGCAAAAGAATCTGTTCATTCATTATTCCTCGATATTGTGATTTTGGTGCAAAAATTGCCATGCATTATTTTTTAATTGGTTTGATTGTTTTTATGCCGTTTATATCGAAACGTGTTGAAACGTGGGCCTATGCTCTGTTCCGGAAAGTTTATACTAAACTTCCTATTTCTATTGGATTGTAGTGACTTGTTGGAATGTTTGTTTTTAATTTAAATAAAAAGTTTACGCTTTCTTTCTTGGCGGAGGGCAATATTTCCTTATTACGGTCCAGTATTAAAGAAACTAGTTTTTTTCGTGGATTGTCACACTATTCTATAGAACGCCTAAAAGTATGCTAAGGTTTTTGCATTATTTCATAAAACATACCAAAACAATATGGCAACCTCCTTGAAATGGGCTCGAGTAATAGGCAAACAGAAGACGATAGGAAGCGTATTTTGTGACAAGTCTTAATTAAAATTGTAATAACTCAGCATTGGATGAAGCGATTGCCACAATATTGGTGTCATTTTATAGGGGAGATATTAAAGATTTTATATATGTCAATTAAAAGGTAAAAAGCCAACTATTTAAGAGTAATAAGTTGCGTCTTGCTTCGATTAAAGATTTTAATGAAAAAAGGGGTTAAACACTTAAATTTTGATATTTTACGATTTATTATGTAATATGCACCCATGCTATTAACATTACTATTATTAAATAAGCTAATTTCTGCAGCGACATTGAATTTTGGAACGTTTCAAAAAAATTGTATTTGGGACACAATTGGGAAGAAATATTAGACTTTTGGTAGGAAATATGTATTTCAGAGCCAGATAACACCCATGAAGTTATGTTTTGAGACCATTTAAAAAGAAATATTTTGTTATTGTCGGAGATAATAAAAATTTGCGGGAAAAAAACTTTATTTCAATTGGCCGGAATTTTTTCTATACTTGCTTTCTCATATTGAACAACATTTTGCAATATTTTGTTCAAAATACTTCCCTGACTGTCGAAACAGCGGAAGTATATAATAAAGGGAAATTGTAAAAGGAAATATTGATTGCTAACTGATCTCAAGCAAAGGTTAAAGAGCACATTTTGTTGTAACTTTTGAAAGTTTAGTTTTAACAAGTTGGCCGTACTAACACACGTTCTTGTAAAGAAGTGTTCATTCTCCTCTAATGAGAACATTCAACAGAATATTTTAAGTTATCAGAATCCTAATTCTTAAAACCCCATTAACTACAAATGTTTTCCTCCAGTAATTGGACTGTTAGACCCAATTAAAAACAAAAACTCTGTTTTTTTGTATAGACATATTAATTTATTTATATCCCTTATAAAATGCATTTGTGTCCATTATATCATTTTGTTGTAATACTAAGTATCGATATTCATTCATTTAATTACTTTTGATTTGTTTTATTTTTGTTTGCATCATATTTAAGATATAAACTATTGGAAATTATTCAAAAATATTATTATTACAAAAAAATATGTAAAATTGTTTAATGATAATACTTACAAGACATACAGTGTAAATTGAAATGAAATGATTAATTCTTTTTATAAATAATAATCTAATAAAGAATGCCCGGTTTTACATAACGAGGAAAATATCAATTTATTTTGTTTACAATTTTTTAGTATAAATTTTGTTATTTCTTTAATGGTATTAGGAATTAAAAGACATTCATTTCATATGTTCTTATTATTTTCGTGTTGTCATTGGAAGGATTATGTTTTTTTAGGTGTCTACATAAAGTATACTATCTACGTATTATTGTTGTTTCTGTTTTATGTGTAAAAATATTTAATGCCCCCTTTGATTGATTTTTGTTTTGTCGTATGATTCTTTTTATTTGTAATTCGTTTTCTTATCATTTAATTTAGATTTCCTGTTATGTGGTAATATTTCCATTTGTTTTTTTATTATTTTATAATTTTTAATTATAAATTTGAAATACATATGTACGGATGTTTGTGTCTTAATTTTTGTTTTCATAATACACTAAAAAATAAATTTTAAAAATATTTTTTTTTAGTTTTTGAATTTTTTATTTAGCACCTAAATTTTTATATGGTTTGCCACCATGTTTCTCCCATTCACGATTAAATTCATGTTCCAGAATTTCCGCTCCACGTTTGCGGGTTAAGCCGGTCTCTTCTAAACTTAATTCACACATTTGCATATCGTCAATACCTACGTGAAGAATAAAAATTACAACAATAATAATAATATGCATTATATAATATTAAACACAATAATTGTTTACACATACCAGCTGTCAATAGAATGGGTGGTTTATCCGCATGTAATTCCATTTGTCGGGCAATCCATTGACCATCAAAGTGGGCATACCACAAACCACGTTTTGCTATAGAATATTCAAATTGAAATACATTTATTAAATAAAGGCAATTTTTACTTTATTTGTCCTTACTATTTTCCGGAGCATTGGCCCTCATAAACGGTATACGGAAATAACGATGCTGGGCAGTTGTAATTTCTTGTTTAGGTTGTACCAATGGCGGGGCCTTAGAAGCTAAGAAAGTAAAAGATTGGAAACATTCAAATAAGCTTGTTATATTTTTTTGATAATGTCTAATAAGAAATACCTGCTTCCATAACACTCTTTGGGGCCCGTTCATTTTCATCCATGGTGGTACGTTTACGGTTCTTTGCCTTCCATGCATGATAGACCTTCAAGCGGCGATGGAATTCTTGACGGCAAGCCTGCAGAATTTGAGAAAAATATATAAATCAGGTTTCACAAAATACAATAGAAAATGACAAATAAATAAAAATCAGGCCTTCGACAGAAAACCAAAATACAATAGTTATCTACGGTAACAGTCATGGTAAAACGTTATGGGTATGGTGTTATGGTATGTCAGAAATAATCAATTAAATTATACCCCATAAGATTATACCCCATTAAGCTGTTCAAGCTGTTTCATATTGTATGGTTATTATACGTCTAATTGAACCTTAAACTATACAGGGTGAGATGAAAAAACTGTAACCAACTTCAGGCTGCTGTCATTTGTAAGCCACTCGTCCGGCAGCCGTTAAAATTATTACAGTAACAGCTCATATTTGGTGAGAATTTTCCAGAAAAAAGTTATTCGTGATGGAATTCAAGCGTGATAATGTGATTTCTGGAAATCCACAAGTGACTATCGTAAGAGCGCTCCAGCATTTAAATATGAATAAATCTTTTGTGTCTCGTACCATCGCTCGTTACCGTGATAATGGTAGCGTAGCTCGACGTCAAGGAAGTGGACGGAAGAAAACAGCAACATCAGCAGAAATGGTTCGAAAAGTAAAGAAGCGACTTGATCGAAACCCGCGTTGCAGTGGCCGAAAATGGTTCGTGAGCTGAACATATCCCAATATTCCATTCGGCCAATATTGGCAAAATGAGCTCGGTGTAAAGCCATTGTAATTCCAAAAAAGTGCAAGAACTTACACGGCAACGAAAAGAAAATAGACACAAAAGACCTAAAGAGTTGCTTTGCTTGGCCGAAAGTGGTGAGCTGCCGAATTTGGTTTTCTCCCATGAGAAAACATTCGTTGTACAAAGAGGTCAGCTGAAAATGTGCACCTTCGGTTGGCCACCAGAACTCACGCGCCGGCCATGGTGATGGTGTGGACCGCCATAACAGCCGATGGTCGTTCTCCGCTCGTATTAATCGACCGTGGCATCAAAATATATGCCGAATATTATCGCGAAAATATTCTGGAGGGTGTATTAAAGCCTTGGGCACGCAAACATTTTGGCCGCAGACCTTGGACATTCCAACCGGACTCGGCACGCGCCACCCAAGAATGGTTAAAAATGAGGTTATTCGCTTCATTTCCACAATACCCACCAAAATCTCCGGATACCAATCCGTTGGACTATTGTGTTTGGAGTATTTTGGAAAGCAATGTTGGCACTAAAAAATACCAAAGTGTCGGTCACCTCAAGCAAGCACTTCGCCGGGAATGGGCCAAAATACCGCGAAGCAACATTCGGGCAGCGTGTGACGGTTTCATTGGCCGTTGAGGGCCATAATTCGTGCCAAAGGTGTCCAATTCGAAGAAATCTAAACTTACTCTAAAATTTGATGCTATTTCCGACATTTTTTGCTATCATTCAATAAAATTGAAAAATTATGGCTTTTGACTTTGTTGCAGCTTTTTTTCTCACCCTGTATTATTATGTCAATTTTACTTACCTCAAGCAATTCAATATCACAGGAAGTGTTAATTGCATCACGCAGTTCCGAATATTTCCATTTTGATAAATCGTATTTTTGTTTTCCCAAAGCCTGTTGTTGAGCACGAACATTTTCAGATCTTGTTTTTTTTTTTTTTGAGGTTTACATTGAAATAACATAAAAGAAATTAAATCAGTTAGAAATTTGTTACAAAGCAAAGTCAATATTTTCAATGAAACAAAAAACATGTGAAATGCATTAATGTTGTCAGTAAACCAAAATGAAAAATAAAGAAACCTTCTACCTTGTTGATTAATTACAAAATTGATTCGATTAAAATTAAAATGTTGAAAACAAATATGTATATACAAAAATGTAAAGAAAACAATAATTATGATTTTTTTTTCTAAAAAAATGTTAGTTATGTTCTACGACTACTGAAATTTGTTGAAATCGAAATATTACTATTTAACGAAGAAACGAAAATATGATGATTTGAAATAATCTATGAAAAATCTACCAAAGACTAAATTTTGTGGCGTAAAAGAACCTGAAACTCACTTCTGTCTTAAATAACGAGATGCTAATTCGGAAACATCTCTGGTAAAACTTTTTAAATTTGTTATTTTATATTTTATGTTTTGTGATTGTTCGGTGGTGGCAAATTGTGAAGAAGAGATTAGTAAAAGTGACAATAAAATAAATTAGTTTTTTTGTTGTTGTTGTAGATCATAACCTATTTGTTAATATGTTGTTTGCTTAGTTTATTGGAATAGGGAAAGCAATAAAAAGGGGGATAGAAAGATTGGTGTAGTTTGTTTTTGTTGTACTTATTTGTGGTATATACCTGATCAGTTTATTTGGACCCACTGGCGACATATCCGTTTGACCACTGTTGCAAAAAGAGAAACCAAAATAATACATAATGTGGAATTTTGTTTGTTTTGGAATTTTGTTGTGTGGATATAGGGTGATTTTGTTCGGCCGAAGGAAGAAAACATTGTAAATAAAAAATATACAAAATACAAAATTTTAAATAATAAAAAAAAAAAACGTAAAAATTGGACAAATTACAGAATTTTGTGTGTTTAAAATAAAAATAAAATATTAATAAATAATAACAATACTTCCTCCAATACAATTTTTGTACAAAAGGACAAGAACACAGGTGCATTTGTGGTTTATAGCTTTTTCCATATTTTTAAGCTATTTACATAGAGTAATTTTCGAAATCCAATTCTAAGATTGTCGTTCTACTTACTTTCTTATCATTGGCGGACTGTCTTCTACTTGTCCATTGGACTCAGTAGCCAATCTCAATGCCAATTCATGATCCCGTCGTTCTTGTTCCAATTGTTGTCGATATTTAGCATCGTCTATTGCCTCTTTTTCTAATTGTGCCTGTAGTGCCAGAGCAGCTCTACGATCCTCTTCTTCTTGTTTAAGACGTTGCACTTCTTCAGCCTTGCGACGAGACTCCATTTCTGCCTTGCTGTAATTATATATACATATTATGTATATAATTATAGTATATTTTCTTAAGTACTTGCATTTTGGAAAATTATACTTACAGCCGTTTATTGTCTTCTTCCTCACGCAAACGTCGCTCTTCTTCCTCTTTAGCACGACGTTCGGCTTCCAAAGCTTCTTGAATCTTACGCAAACGCTCCTGCTCTTCAGCCTGTTGTTGTTCCTATAAAAAATTATATTTGATTGAAATATATAAAATAAATAAATTATATTATATAACAAGTAAAAAAGCAGCAAGTTCGGCCGGGCCGAACTTTGAATAAACTCCACCATTTGAAACGAATTAAGAAATTTTCAAAAACATTAAATCCATTCAAAAATGCTGTTAAAATCTTAAAAATACCGAATATCGGAAGGTGCCGATATTTGTGGGGATATACGATATTGTGAACCTATGTAGACAAATCTATGTGTGGGGTAAAGTACTCAAAAAGAACTACTTGTGTAGAATTTCAGACAATTCTGTTGAAAAATGTGACTAAAATCATCAAAATACCGAATATTGGGGGAGGGTACCGTTATATGGGGGCTATACGATTCTTGGACCCATAAAGATAATTAATTTACAGGGGATAAAGTACTCACAAGGAACTTCTGCAGATTTTTAGATAATTCCATTGGAAAATGTAGCTAAAATCATCAAAATACCGAACATCGGGGGGTACCGTTATATGGGGGATATACGATATTGTGGACTTATATAGACAATTCTCTTTCAGGGGATAAAGTACTCACAATGAACTCCCCGTGTGGAATTTCAGACAATTCCATTGAAAAATGTGGGTAAATCATCATAATACCGAATATCGGGGGACCATGATATGGGGGATATACGATATCGTGAACCTATATAGACAGTTCTCTTTCAGGGGGTAAAGTGCTCACAAAGAACTCCTTGTGTTAGAAATGTGGTTAAAATCATTAAAATACCGAATATCGGGGTACCGTTATATCGGGGCTATACGATATCTTGGACCGTATAGCCCATCTTCGAACTTGACCTGACTGCAGACGAAAGACAGATCTGTGCAAAGTTTTAGCTTTCTATCTTAATTCGTTTTGACTCTAGCGTTATTACAAAAGACGTACAGATGGACAGGGCTAAATCGTCTTAGAATTTTACGCTGATCAAGAATATATACACTTTGTTGGGTCTAAACTTATTATTTCGATGAGTTACAAACGGAATGACGAACTTAATATAACCTCCATATTATGTATGGTGAAGGGTATAAAAATGAAATATATGGTGGATGACTTTTAAATCACTAAGAACACCCAAAAACATGGCTAGATCACGATCAAAGGAACTGAATTGCAATCCGTCCACGTAGAAAAAATTTCGATATTAAAGATGCAGTTCCGTCTCCGTCTTTTTACAAATAAATTTCTTCTTTTCCACTGTTCCTAAAAATGACGTACAGGTTCACATCAGGACATTTGCTATTTCTAAGAAGGTTTATTTTTAACAAACGCACAATCAATAATTGTTTTTTTACAACATGTGATCTTCGAAGCATTACAGCCTTGAAACACTCTAAAAGATGATTGGATTGTGGGCAAAAATACATATTTTTTTGGTGGGGTGAGCCTCCACCTACTGTTGCCCAGATTTTTTAAATGACAAACAGGGCTCCTTAAGGATTTTGGCTACTTAGACAGATAAACGTCTTCTTTATAAAGAGGATCTTCTCTATATAGAGGATCCTAGATGAGGATAGAGGATCTAAGCGCAAGCGTGAATATTATTTCCATAATGTTTAATTTAGGTATATCCCCCATATATTGGGTCTAATTTTCTCATGTTAATTTGACTATTAAAATAGTCAAACATGACGTTAGGTTTAAACCGACCAATCTAACATTGGAGGATTAATAAGATTATCAATGTCTTCATTAAAAAAATCCATCAAAAGAATATATAGTTGATGCATACCTTAAGTTTACTATTCAAATCCACCGTGATCTTATTCATATTCGCCATAATATTTGTGTACATGCCATCAATTTCACGTGGAGCAATTTTCTCGTTCATCTGAAGAAACAAAACAAACAAAGTCATTTACATTTATAATTGTAACATAAACTGCAACTATCAAAACACACCTTAATCTTGCGTATACTTTCATCAATTTGACGTTCAATTTCGGCCACTTCATTTAGAATAACTTCACGACCGTTCTTCAAGCCACCGGCAATTTCAATGGTCTTTTCGGCATTTGAACGAATTTTATTGATTTTAGAAATACCCTGGAAGCGGGGGCGATGATGTTTGCGAGCCAAAAAGCCACGTACCGTGCTTTGTATGACCAAAACACATTTATTACGATATTTAATGCGATTGCGTACTATGTGGAAAAAAATAAAATATTAATTTGATTAGATTTTCTTTAATTCGAATCTACTTACATTTTATTACACAAACTGCTCCCAAGGTTGATTTTACCCATCTAGAACGTATCAGCCATTTCTTAACTTTGGCAACAATTGCCAAAAGATTTTCTGGATCCGATTTCATAATGCGATCAAATTCTACAAATTTGCCGGGCCGGAAAAATACCTTGGTTATACCAAATTTAAAATCTTTGGAACTTAAGTTCAAAGATTGCAACATAGCCTCGCAGAAGGTACGAGCTGGCAGTTTTGCTAATTCAGGTGGCAAGAATGATTTATACATATTATAGAGATCGGAAAATGGTACACGTGATGGATAACCATGTTCCATTAATTCCAATACGGAAATCGTACCAGAACATTTCAGTTGTGCCAAGGCCAGACCGCCTTCAAATTCGCGGTCAATCATTTTGCTATTGGGCTTAATGCAACGTATAAAATTGGTGCCCTACAAAAAAGATAATAATAAATAAAAAATATTTTTCGAAATTACTCATTAAAAGTTTACTCACATTCTTTTCCAGTTTTTCCATTAATTCAGCCAATTGTGTTTTAAACTTCGAACCAACAGAAATGAAATTTAATTTGCCTCTCACAGATGTTGTTCCCGAGGAAAACAATGATTTCAAAAGAGGATTTTCACATTCTTGAACCAAACCCTCGAGAGATGCATGCAGAGCATCATTATTTTTCTCAATAAATTGTTCAGTATTATAGCACACAGCTCCGGCAAAGTGACGCACCAAGAAACCTTCCTCATCGCGCAGCGTACGATGAGCCTTGAGACGCGATGACCGCGGCAAGCCCAAACGGAAATGATTTGACCATGCCTTATGTACTTCGGTGGTAAAATGTACAGCTGCAGGTTTTGGCAGTTTACTTTCCTCGTCCAATAAGGTGAAGATACCGTTTGATTTGTTTTCAATAAGATCAATAATATCTTGATTATCGGTAAAGGTAATCTCAGGAACATTAAGACCTTCACGTTTGTACAATTCTTGTTCATTTTTCAAAATGTTGTCGTTAAAGAATTTCTGCAACTTTTCATTACAGTAATTAATACAGAACTGTTCAAAGGAATTCACAGTGAAATATTCAAAACCAGCAATATCTAAAACGCCAATGTAGAAGTTGGACGCTTGGAAGGGTATGCTTTGATTGATTAAAGCCACAATGCGATCGAAGAGACGGCTGTAAATGGCCTTGGCCAAGGCATCGCGTGCATTTGATGCTTCATAGATTTTAAGAGGTACCCTGAGAAGCAATTAAAAAACATATGAAGTTTTGTTTACTAGAGAAAATTCCAAAAATCACTTACATTATCACTGTCCCCTTGAAACCGCCTCCTTTGCTTTGCATTACTCTGGAAACCAACGCCTGCCTTAACTCATCTGGATCCACACCCAGCAAACGACATGTTGTGGTCAATGATTTTTCGGATGACTGAGAAACCTGACAACCTCCACGCACATCATCGGGTATCTCTTCAAAGGAAATATTGCCCAAATGCAGTACAGCTGCAACCAAAGAGTAAATTTCTAATTTTTGTACTTCACTCAAACCAAGACGCCCTAGTGCTTTGTCCAAATTTTGGAAATGATTATAATCATCAATAATGGGATCCTTAAGTGGTCCATTTTTCAGATGTGAAGCCGATTTCTGTGTCGATGGTATTAGTTGTTCAGTTTTGCCATTGGCAAAATACTGTGTACAGCCGGAGAGATACTGGAAGAAAAAAATGAAAAATGAAATGAATTCATCTTAATAATACTTTAACCCCAAAAGCTTTTTCCTCAACCTTTAACACTTTAAATCATCTATCCATATTTTAAATCAATCGAAGGCCCACAGACGGTTAAAAATCCTGTTTGACAAATAAAACTTTGTCGAAGCAAATTGAACCATTTTTTAAGAAACCAAATGCAATACTAAAAAAATAAAAAATCCTGTCAAAGGCAAAGACATCTTCATTGAAACTACAAGAAAATGTCACACTACTGACCTTCAGAACTATTATTCTTCTATTCCAGGGTCCGCACTCTCTTTAAAGGGATAGGACAGTCCTAATGTTTAATATTTCTTGGCCCAAATTTGTAGTATATTTTGCAGGCATTCTACTGGTCTATTAAAGCGATTGTCAATGTGCAACCAGTGGATGCGACCAATGGTACTCAGATATTCTTCTCCGAGATATACATAAGGGCAAAAATTGTCTTGTTTTTATAGTTATTTTAAATATTTTAAATAACTCTTGTGTACAGGGTGAGATGAAAAAACTGCTACCAAATTCAGACTGCTGTCATTTCTAAGCCACTCGTCCGACAGCTGTTAAAATTATTCCAGTGACAGCTCATTATATTGTTTACAAGCGTACAAAAGCATTTTGGTAAGAATTTTCCAGAAAAAAAAAGCTATTCGTGATGGAATTCAAGCGTGATTGTGTGATTTCTTTATATTTGGCTAGAATACCACAAGTGGCTATAGTTAGAGAACATCAGCATTTAAATGTGAATAAATCTTTTGTGTCTCGTACCATCGCTTGTTACCGTGATACTAGTATCCTAGCCCGGCGTTAAGGAAGTGAACGGAAGAAAACAGCAACATCTGTAGAAATGGTTCGGAAAGTAAAGAAGCGACTTGTCGAAACCAGCGCCGCAGTGGTCGAAAAATGGCTTGTGAGCTGAACATATCGCAATATTCCATTCGGCAAAAATTGAAAAATGAGCTCGGAGTAAAGCCATTTAAATTCTAAAAATTGCAAGAACTTACACCGCAACAGAAAGAAAATGGACTCAAAAGAGCTAAAAAGTTGCTTTGCTTGGCCGAAAGTGGTGAACTGCCTAATTTGGGTTTCTCCGATGAGAAAACATTCGTTGTGCATCAGTTTGTAAACAAACAAAATGATCGTGTTTACTTGCCAAAGAGGTCAGCTGAAAATGTGCACCTTTGGTTGGCCACCAGAATTTATGCGCCGGCCATGGCGATGGTGTGGGTCGCTATAACAGCTGACCCCCCGCTCGTATTAATCGACAGAATAAATGCCGAATATTATCGCGAAAATATTCTGGAGGGTGTATTAAAGCTTTGGGCAACCAAACATTTTGGCCGCAGACCTTGGACATTCCAACAGGACTCAACACCATTGCATTCAGCACGCACCACCCAAGAATGGTTACAAAATGAGGTTCCTCGCTTTATTTCCAGCGCACTATGACCACCAAAATATCCGTCGGACTATTGTGTCTGGAGTATTTTGGAAAGCAAGGTTGGCACTAAAAAATACCAAAGTGTCAATCACTTCAAGCAAGCGCTTCGCCGGGAATGGGCCAAAATACCGTAAAGCAAGATTCGGGCAGCGTGTGACGGTTTCATTGGCCGTTTAAATGCCATAATTCGTGCCAAAGGTGACCAATTCGAACAAATCTAAACTTATTCTAAAATTTCATGCTATTTCCGACATTTTTTGCTTTCATTCAATAAAATTAAAAAAAAATGTAAATCTGTGACAAGCCCCGAAGCTATGTTCTCCAAGGTTCACACTATTCTCCATGAGTTCGAAGAGTTTGCGGTTCTGGTTTTCATTCTGTCAAAAATCACATCAACTGTCTGGTTGGATGTTGTGCAGATATCCAATCCAGTCTTGATTCTATGGCATGGACTTGCCAAATGAGTCTAAATTTATTTAGACAACCTCAACGAGTCTCCCTTCGAATACAAAATTGCATTGACACTTTTAAAAATAATTTTTAACATCTCATTGTCGAGAATTATGCTCCTAAATCCGATCATTGACGAAAGAAACCTCAACAAAGTCTAAGAGAGTCATACATGTCCTAAGCTTTCCAACTATGTGATTTTTTTATGAAAAATTAAATATAAAACGAAATGAATATTATTTGGAAAATCAATAAAAAAATTACAATCATCAAATTGCCATTTAGTTGAAGTTCTGCAAGATGAACAACTGACCTGGGGGGTATAACCTTATTAAATTTAGATCTAGGCCATTAAAGGTCAATTAAATATTTATTCATATTATCAAATCTTCACGTCTGCAAACATTAACACGATCCCTTTTTGTCTGGCAACATGACAAGCGTTAGTTTCAAAATGAACAAACAATGTCAAACATGTGTGTTAAGATACAAAAATGACCTCAAACATTACGCTGATTCGATAAAATGTTTAAAAATAAACTTAAAGCAAATAAACAAACAATTATATAACTAAGGAAAATACCATTCTCTCCTTATCTTAAATACTCAATCTGTTGTCTTAATCAAACAAATTTGTAATTTCCACCACCCACCCAACGCCTTCAAAAAAATTAAAAACAGAAGAAGAAAACAACTGACTAATGACGTAAAGAATGCAAACATCTAATCACGGGAGAAGATATTAAAACAAAACCAAGATAACATATTAAATAATTGCCACGGAGACGAAGGTGAAGATGGTGGTTCCGGCTATGCTACCTACTTCTACCACTTACCCGATAATCATCTGGTTTGCCTAAGCTTAATTTATCACGCAATTGTTGTGGCGCTCCAGCCAAGAGCATATAGAATACATGATAGTTACGTTCCTCAGCGCTTTGAGAACAGATACGACTTTTCTCGAGCAGATAATGGGAAATATAACCACCGACCACTTGACATTTAGCATCGTAGTGAACTTCAATGAATTTACCAAAACGTGATGAATTGTTGTTGCGTGTTGTTTTGGCATTACCGAAGGCTTCCAGGACAGGATTGGCTGAAAAGGCAAATGCAGTAATTTAAAGGAAGGATACGTTTTTAAATTTTAAATGTAAACCATACCATCTAAGATTTTTTGCTCTATGGGACCGGCACTGTCATGCGAATGACACAAATATTTCAATAGATATTTTGTTGATTCTGTTTTACCAGCTCCAGATTCACCAGAGACAATGATCGATTGGGATTCTTTGTATACGCGCATATCGCGTATAGCCTTATCAGCTAAAAATAGAAAAATCAAATCAGTCAGAATTTGATTAAAAATTAGAATTTCTTTCCCCATTACCTATGGCAAATACATGGGGCGGCAATTCACCCAAGGAACGTCCATTATATTTTTTAATAGTTGCAGGTGCATAGAGATCTGTAATTTCACGATAGGGATTTATGGCTATTAAAATATTGGCCACATATGTCTGTAAATAGAACAAGTCAATAAAGTTGGGTAATATTATATTTCAAATGTGAATTTTAATGGAAAGTTGTTTTGTTACTCACATAGATTTTGTCCTTGTAATAACGTGTCTTTAAATTATCCAAAAATGTGGCTTCGTTTAGTAGCATTAATTCACCTGAAATGAACAACAACAACAAAATATTTTAATTTGAGATCATAAATAACGATTGCTTTTTAATCAAATGAAAATTAGCATTTTAACATAAAGACTCGAATTAAAAGAAAGGAGGTAAATTACACTAAGTTAGGGGTAGGAATGGTTTTTACAACCATTATAAGGAACAACTTCGAATCAATGAGACCGATTACAGGGTGAGATAAAAAAACTGCAACAAAGTCAAGCGCCATAATTTTCACATTTTTTTTTAATTTTATTCAATGAAAGCAAAATATGTCGGAAATAGCATAAAATTTTAGTATAAGTTTTGATTTGTTCGATTTGATCACCTTTGGCATGAATTATGGCCTTCAAAGGGCCAATGAAACCATCACACGCTGCTCAAATGTTGCTTTACGGTATTTTGGCCCATTCCCGGCGAAGCTCTTTCTTGAGGTGATTGACACTTTGGTATTTTTTAGTGTCCACCTTGCTTTCCAAAATACTTCAGACACAATAGTCCAACGGATTGATATCCGGAGATTTTGGTGACCATTGTGCCCTGGAAATGAAGCGAAGAGCCTCATTTTGAAATCATTCTGGTGGCGCGTGCTGAGTCCTGTTGGAATGTCCAAGGTCTGCGGCCAAAATGTTTGCGTGCCCAAGGCTTTAATATACCCTTCGGAATGCCACGGTCAATTAATACGAGCGGAGAGCGACCATCGACTGTTATGGTGGCTCACACCATCACCATGGGCGGCGCTTGAGTTTTGGTAGCCAACCGAAGGAGCACATTTTCAGCTGACCTCTTTGGCAAGTAAACACGATCATTTTCTTACAAACTGCTGGACAACGAATGTTTTCTCATCGGAAACCAAATTCGGCAGTTCACCACTTTCGGTCAAGTGAAGCAATCTTTAGCTCTTTTGAGTCTATTTTCTTTCTGTTGCGGTGTAAGTTCTTACAATTTTTGGAATTTCAATGGCTTTACCCGAGCTCATTTTTCAATATTTGCCGAATGGAATATTGCGATATGTTCTCTCGAAAGAGTTATTTACATTTAAATGCTGGGGTGCTCGAACGATAGCCACTTGTGGTATTCCAGCCAAATTTAAAGAAATCACACTATCGCGCTTGAATTCCATTACGTTTAACTTTTTTCTGGAAAATTCTTACCAAAATGCTTTTGTACGCTTGAGCTGTCACTGGAATAATTTTAACAGGTGTCGGCCGAGTGGCTTAGAAATGACAGCAGTCTGAAGTTGGTTGCAGTTTTTCATCTCACCCTGTAGTTTATGGGGTCTACCAAGGTGTTTTAAGGCAGAGGGTATGAAAATATTAAGATATGCTGAGTTTGTTGAAATTCGATATTGATTCGTTAATAACTATGTTGAAGTTCTCAGGGCCAAATATGGGTGCTCCAATGAACACAATCCAAAAAGCTAAAAACGGTATTCACAAACTATACTTTTTATGAAGTGGTGTTATACAAAATATTTGATCATGATCGGTATTTCAAATCTCTGCCGACCTTACGACCTGTGTTATACTGTACTCGGAAAGTTCGCCATACTCATTTTAAAGTTTAAATTCAGTTTAAGAATATGACTAATAATGGATAATCAGTCTAAAAATTAAATTCTATAGTAAATCAAAATATTTTAAGTGTTTTCTTTTTTTTTCAAATGCATTTTTTCTTCAGAAAAATTGCATAATTATAAAAATTAACAATAGTATATTGCCTTAAGAGTACTTTAGAAAGTTTTTAAATATTTAAAAAGAAGGAAGATGAATATTTTTAATTCTAATATAAGTACAAGACCTTTCAATTCGATGTCTCTACAATGTTTTTTCTTAAGAATATGCATACTAGTTCTGAAAAAGACCCCCTGACAAAATATAAACTTTTAATACCCTCCACTATTTGGAAACTACTTGCAAAATGTAAAAAATCCCCTTGAAAAATGCCATTATAATTTTTTAAAATACATAACATCAGGTCTTTCCGTTATATGGGCCTATACGAAAAGTGGATCTTGGCAGTCAATTATCTGCTAAAGAAGATGGTCTCTATTGCGAACTCCCAATACCAAGTTTGAGATAATACGGTTGAAAATGCAGCTAAAATCATCAAAATACCGAATATTGGGAAGAACTGTTATATGGTGGCTATACGACGATGAATTTATTTGCGCCATTTTCTCAATGGTATTTTACACAAACAACATCTTCGAAGTTAATATAAGATTATTATAAAATTTAGTAATATAAAATTTTTTATTTATTTGAATTTAAATATACTTAGACATGGTGACGTTAGGAACACTTAACCTATTTCGTCTATGCAAAAATTCGAAATGAAAATTAATTTAAATATTCATTTACCCAACTGCTATTATTCTAATTAATATACTTATTTTTTCAAACGTTAACTGGTCTTCATAAAATATTGTCATTTTAAAATTAATGCCAAAACAAGCCAAAAATAAACCATAACCATCAAAAATAAAAATGTGCTGATTATGCATAAGTAGCAATTCACTTTGGCATTTCATTTCATTATTTCTTTTGTTTTTTTTTTCTACTCTACTCTACATTTCATTCAATTTCTATTGGAAGCAAAACAATAGTAAAAGTGGAGTAGTTTTATGTCTTATTTTAATTTGTAAGTAAACAAAAGATATTTCCATATACATTTTACAATATACCTATACGTTCATACATAGGAAGGCCCATGGATTGCCAAGAGTACATACAAAACTAAAAACCTTAACAATGAATATCTTTGCCACTTCCTTCTACTCAAGAAGTTATCGTCATTTTCTATATCGACATTACAAATTCATGCTGGAGAGATTGAAACAGAAAACAAAAAACGTGACATTTCTAAAACCAAGTTAACAACAGCGACAATAACAGAACATGGAAGGAAGGAAGAAGCAGCCAGCACCGATGACGTTGAAGAAATCCATACACAAATTGTTCATTAAGAATTCATTGACTTTATTTTTGTTTTTGTCTAGTTTTGTCCCCAAAATCGTCGCATTTACCGCATTCAGCCAACAGTCAGCCAATCAGTCTCCACCGCTGCTACTGCTGATAGTCAAGTCAACAAACGAAATGACTGGAAGAAATCGTCAAAAATGGATATAAACCGAAACGTGATCTACATAATACCAATTTTATTTTTTTTCTGTTTTTTTTTAGAAAACAATTTTACTATGTCAGAACGACAGTCTACCAGCCAGTCTGCTAGCTAGGCAACAATATAGTCACATCGTTTAGACATTTAACCCAATTTATTTTTATAACAAATTTGCTTTAAATTTCTTCTTCATATCGAAATGAACGTACATACCTACATATGTATGTAGAGTGCGACATATAGATGAATTATAACGGAATGACAGGCACATCACAGTTTGAACTGCTTATAAATTGCATGAACGATTTAAAAAATTTTTGTTAGTAGGGTAAGTGTGCCTAAGTTCGGCATGTCCCAGTAGTCGGCACTTTTTATTTTTAAGCCCAAATAAATGAAACTATTTTAACTAAATGTATTTTGTTTATTTCAAATATATTGTCAGCTATTTTTGTGTAGAATTTCGCTAAGAAAAGATGATTTATTCTAATAAAAATTAAATTTTTGTCTGTGAAGGTCCTCAACAATCCATATTCTTAAGAAAAGTACAATAAAGATATCGAATCAGTTTAACTAAACAAAAATATTATATTTTAATTAATTAATTTATTATTATTATTAATTATTCTTACAAAGAAATCGGTATGCCATATCGACAATTGGCAAGTGGTGCCGACTACTGGCAAAAAAGCATTGTTTTAATAAAACTACAAATTTATGAAATTAAAAAAAGTTTTTAAAACTTTATTATTAAAAAACTATACAAAATTTCGAATCTGAATAAATTAACTTTGTAATAATTGAAAAGTTCCACTCAGAATGGTGAGCGATAAAAAAACGCAAAAATCCTAAAAGTGACGACTACTGGTACCCTATGTGATATCTTCAACTTTACCGTTTAGCGGTGGAGATTTCATATGATATTTTTTGATTTTAGCTTAAAGCTGAACCCAACATACCAGGAATAATATTATACAAATATTTTGTCATAACATTTTTTTAACAATGTTTGAGAAACACTTATGTTGCCCAAACTTTTGTCAAATATGTCCCTTGTTGACAAATTTGTTTTGATTTTTGTGAACATTTTCAGCTTAAGATTGCTTTCTTGAAAAAAACTGCAACCAACTACATTTCTAAGCCACTCGTCCGACAGCTGTTAAATTATTCCAGTGACAGCTCATTATATTGTTTACAAGCGTACAAAAAAAGCATTTTGGTGAGAATTTTCCAGAAAAACAAAATTATTCGTGATGGAATTCAAGCGTGATTTCTTTATATTTGGCTAGAAAACCACAAGTGGCTATCGTTAGAGCACTCCAGCATTTAAATGTGAATAAATCTTTTGTGTCTCGTACCATTGCTCGTTACCGTGATACTGGTAACGAAACAGCAACATCAGCAGAAATGGTTCGAAAAGTAATGAAGCGAATTGATCGAAACCCGCGTCGCGGTGCCCAAAAAATGGCTCGTAAGCTGAACATATCACAATATTCCATTCGGCAAATATGGAAAAATGAGCTCGGGGTAAAGCCATTGAAATTTCAAAAAGTGCAAGAACTTACACCGCAACAGAAAGAATTTAGATTCAAAAGAGCTGATTCGCTTATCCCAAAGTGGTTAACTGCCGAATTTGGTTTTCTCCGATGAGAAAACATTCGTTTGTCCAGCAGTTTGTTTACTTGCCAAAGAGGTCAGCTGAAAATGTGCAATTTCGGTTAGCAACCAGAACTCAAGCGCCGGTCATGGTAATGGTGTGGTCGTTCTCCACTCGTATTAATCGACCATGTCATCAGAATAAATGCCGAATATTATCACGAAAATATTCTGGAGAGTGTATTAAAGCCTTGGACACGCAATCATTTTGGCTGCAGACCTTGAACATTGCAACAGGACTCAGCACCATCGCACTCAGCACGCGGCTCCCAAGAATGGTTACAAAAGGAGGTTCCTCGTTTCATTTTGAGTGCACAATAGCCACCAAAATCTCCGGATATCAATCCGTTGGACTAATGTGTCTGGAGTATTTTTGAAAGCAAGGTTGACACAAAAAGGTACCAAAGTGTCGATCACCTCAAGCAAGTGCTTTGCCGAGAATGGGTCAAAATGCCGCAGAATAACATTCGGGCAGCGTGTGACGGTTTCATTGGCCGTTTGAAGGCCATAACTCGTGCCAAAGGTGACCAATTCGAACAAATGTGAACTTATTATAAAATTTGAAAAAAAAAAAAAATTAAATTATGGCGTTTGACTTTGTTGCAGTTTTTTTTAACTCACCCTGTATGTTTCAGAAGTATCGACCGATAATGAATGGTAATAAGAGATTTCGGATAATATTTTGACCAGTGCACAGATTTTCGCAATATCACTCGGGAGCGAAACTTGCTCGCGAGCAGGATTGCTACTTTGTTTTGTGTAGTCACTCCTGTTTGAAAAATTAGAGTGAGGGCAGAATCGCTCAAATAGAACAAAAGTTGCTTTAAGAGTGAAAGTGAGTGGATATATATATATTCGAGCGAATTTTTCGGTGATCTGATAGGGACACGTCTTTGAAAATTTCCCACAAAAACTTGAAAATTGTTCAGCCTACTTGCGTGCGGTTTTAGTTAGAATTTGAGATCTTCAATAAAAATTTCGTAAAAAAATACCATTATTTTAATTGATTTAAATTCAAATTCAATATAATTGAATTTAATTTCTTGTTTAATTGTTTAATTTCTGAATTCTACGGTTATTATCAAAACAACTGCTATCCGATTTGAAAAATAAAATAAATTTTCTACCATTCAAAATCTTAATAGTTGTAAAAACAGTTCTCCATTAAAGTAGTGTTTAAAACTCCGATTTCCAATTAGCAATTCCATACACACTAATATCTAATCCATCCGACTTTAATATGATTTCATTTCAACGCTTATTAAAAAATTGTTGCAAAAATTTGCATGACATCTCCAAACTATAACCATATACCATAGCACAAATGCCTAAAGAAGAAGACATAATAAATTTGCCAATAAAAAAGACTGAAATTAGAAAAAAGTTCAAATCTAAACGAATAAATCGTGCATAATAACACGAAATTATCATAATTTTCCACAACAGAAAACATGAATAACCAATGAATGACTAAATGGGTGGATGGATGGATGACTGAAAGAAAGCTTGCAATTCTGCTACTCCGCACACAAATAATGCAAAATAGAGAAACACATTATTGAAATGGAAAAATGGAGTCATATTAAAACTGGAAAAAGCTACCCAAACAACACACAACTTCACAACACAATTGCATTATTGCAGTAATACCACAACTCTTCCGAGGATGAAAATGATGATGATGATGCCGGTGGTAATGGTGATCACAAAAAAAAAAAAATGGATGACAATAGAAAAGTGATGGGTAATGGGTAGGGGAGAAAAACTCCTAAAGTCAAACATGATTATCCGGCCACCACACTGTTGTTTAACTTGCCCGACTGTCAGTCAGTTGGTCGGTCGGTCGGTCGTTGGAAGTAAACATGCATTCACATTATGCTTTCGAGCATGGCCCCATATCTAACAAAGTTTTATTTTTCTGCGCTCTACGGCTATTGTTACAATTCATTGCAGCATATCGGTCAAACTTTCGGACTGTCTGTATAAACTGACATAGTTTGTAGAGTGGGAAGGAAAATATGATGGTATATCAAATCAAATCCATAATAAACAATTTTAAATTTGTTTGCATTATGCAGATATTGTTGAGAATAAACCGAATACGGTCAAAATATTTAAACTTAGCCAAAAAAGGAATAAACGGAAATGAGTAGGAACAGGGGGCAATGGATTTATTTTTAGCTATCTAGGAAAATTATTTGTACATCTTCACAATTTTTGATTTCTACAAGAAAACAACAGGAAGAGAAAAATTACAAAGGTGTCTTCTATGATACGGAATTTCGCTCTTCTATGTAAAGGACTTCCGCTCTTCTATGAGAAGATTTACGGTCTTGCAGGAAAATATAAGACCTTCTCGTCTTCTATGGGAAAATGTTGTAATATTCTGTGAGAATAGCTACCGTCCTTTTTTGAGAAGACCCTGTGGCCACCTGAGTTTTCTATGAAAAAATCGTCTGGTCTTCTGGGTGAAAACAGTCTGGTCTTCTTTGCGAAGACCTTCTGACATTTGTGAGAAATCTTCCTGATCTTCTATAAAAACACTTTTGGGACTGATATGAGAAGAGTCTCCCACGAGAATAACTTTTGGCCTCTCATTAGAAGGTGTTTTTATCGTCTGGCCTTATCTCAGAAAGTTCATTGAACACTTCCTGTGTTCAGCGACGAAGCTCACTTTAGGCTAAGATCTGGACGAAGCATTGTAAAGCTGCTAATACCTCCAGAAAAAGTCAAAGTTTGTTACATCCGATTGGCTGGTGGCATTATTGGACCATATTTATTCAAAGGTGCTGCGAATCGTAAAGAAACTGTAAATGGTGAGCTCTATCGTGAGACGATTTATTTTACTTTGATACCGGTCAATTGGCCACCTATATTGTACGATTTAAAGCATGTAGATTATTTTTTGTGGGGCTATGTTATCGCTAATGTCTATACGCTACAATTGACACATTGGGACATGGACGCACTTACAGGGTGAGATGAAAAACCTGCAACTAACTTCAGACTGCTGTCGCTTCTAAGCCACTCGTCCGACAACTGTTAAAATTATTCCAATGGCAGCTCATTATATGAAATTATATTGAAATTCCAAAAAGTGCTAGAACTTACACCGCAACAGAAAGAAAATAGACTCAAAAGAGCTAAAGAGTTGCTTAGCGTGGCCGAAAGTGGTGAACTGCCAAATTTAGTTTTAATCCGATGAGAAAACATTCGTTGTCCAGCAGTTTGTGAACAAACAAAATCATCGTGTTTACCTGCCAAAGAGGTCAGCTGAAAATGTGCACATTCGGTTGGCCACCAGAACTCAAGCGCCGGTCATGGTGATAGTGTGGGCCGCCATAATAGCCGATGGTCGCTCTCTACTCGTATTAATCGACTGTGGCATCAGATATTATCGCGAAAATATTCGGAAGGGTGTATTAATGCCTTGGGCACGCAAATATTTTGACCTCAGACCTTGGACATTCCAACATGACTCAGCACCATCGCACTCAGCAATGACCACCAAAATCTCCGGATACCAATCCTTTGGACTGTTGTGTCTGGAGTATTTTGGAAAGCAAGGTTGGCACTAAAAAATACCAAAGTGTCGATCACCTCAAGCAATCGCTTCGCCGGGAATGGGCCAAAATACCGCAGAGCAAAATTCGAACAGCGTGTGTCGCTTTCATTGGCCGTTTGAAGGCCATAATTCGTGCCAAAGGTGACCAATTCGAACAAATCTAAACTTATTCTAAAATTTGCTACTATTTGCGACAGTTTTGCTTTCATTCAATAAAAATAAAAAAAAATGTAAAAATTATGGCATTTGACTTTGTTGCAGTTTTCTATCTCACCCTGTATGGCGGAGAGTATAAAAATAAACCAATTGTCAATAAGGTTCGTCCATGGGTCAAAAAAAATGAATTGAGGAAATTGCAGTAGATTCTGTACTTTGATACTTCATGCATATATTGAATCAAAGAGTGATTCTGACCCAAAAATGATAATGGGTATATTTCCTTCTCTACGTTATTAACAAATGCGCAGACATAACATCAAGTGTTGTTGTGTGAAGTTGGGTATAGTTACGGACAGTTTGTAGATTTCCAAAAAATAACATTTTTCGTACTTTTTCGAAAAGTAACATTTTTTTATTTAAGGGGTTATCCGGTTGAACTCGAAATAAAAGCTGCTTGTATCGGTTTGAATTCCAACCAAACCCAAATCCTTATCTACGTGAACAACATGATATATTTTGCCACAATAATAATGAATAGAATCTTTCAATCAACATCGGGGACTTTTTATGACATTATTCACATTTCTATGTGTTTTCATCCATCAAATTCCAATAAGGCAGCGTAAATTGTATTTACTTTTATCACGGTTAAATTTTGGGTATTTAAAATAATCACTTAATTTGTTTATAATATTAGATGAGTCACTCTTTTAAAGTTGTCTCCATGGCAGGAAGATTTAATGAAACACTTGGAAAATATAATAAAATACACTGCTGTAGACCAAAAACACAAATACTTACAATTGTCATCGTGATCCTGTGGTCCATCACACGATGAGAATATATCGTCCATGTGACATGATCGTTTGGGGTATTTACGATCCAGAGGTGTCACTTCAAAATCCTTAGCACCAATTTCTGATATTCGGCACTGGATATAACCCTCGACGGGATCACGGGCCCACACAAGTTGTGTGTCCATTTTGCGAACTGGAACGAGAGAGGAAAACACCGAGAATGTTAACAATATAGTTACTAGGCATTTCAAAAGATGTTAAAAATGTTATATTTAGTTTTCTAAAATTCCGCTGAAAAACAAAGAAGAATACCAAAAAATGATCAAAGATACTCTGTGGTGGTACAGAGGAAGAAAAAAGAATACAACGAACAAACAACAACTGTGTAGCAGCAGCAGCAAAAAAAAAAATGCCACAAATTGTAATCTTATCAGAGAAATGAATTCAACAACATTGAATGTGGTGTGTATCGTAAGTGTACCTAAGTATCTAAGGTTGTACGTATGTATGTCTGTCTGTCTGTATGTCAGTAAATGAAAAGTAATGTCAAGTCTATGACAGGTGACACAGCTGATGAAACAAGAAGTTAAAACCCAGCTACAACACAATCAACAGCACTGTTCGATCAATCTTATTCTTTTCTCTCTCTCTCCTGTTTCCTAACTTCTTCTCACGTCATTTCATTTACGTAGATTTTTCATATGTCATTCACTTCTATCCGTTTTATTTTTATTTCGTGTTGCTCTCTTACCGGTAAAGTTTTGTTAAATAAAAAAATGAAGAAAGTAAAACAAAAAAATAAACACTACAACAAAATATTTCCTTAAACAAAAAAAAATTGTTAACCGGCGAACGTTTCAATTTAGACTAAATGAGCCGCCCGACTCTCGTGTTATAACAACCTACCTACCTACTCTACCCACCACTCACTCCGTCTCATCGGGAAGAGAGTTATTTTTTCTAGTGTTTTGACGGGTTTTGTTTGAGTTTTAATGGGGGATTTTCGTTTCCAAACACACACGCTCAATTCGATTGGAGATCCACAGTTTGTTGATATCAAAAACTGGTTGAGAGCAGTTGTCTGCTCAGGTAGTTAGGTTGGAGAAATATATATATAGAGAGAGAGAGAAGTGAATGAAATGATGGTTACATTTGTTTTGTTTGGGAGTATGAGATAAAAAAATAAGAGCTAATAAAAATAGACAGTGGTTTCAAAGAGACGTGGCAAATTGTTAGCTACATTTTTTCGTTTACTAAAAATGTAAAAGTTTAAAAGGATAGAATTCGATACTTCAAGGAAACTTAAATTTTCTCATGTAAGTCACTACTATTATTACAAAGGATTTGATAAAATTCGTACTTAAACCACTTCTCAAAAGTACTAGAAGCTCTCCTTTTGGAATTATATGTTATAGTTTTGGAGGAATAATTTCAAATTTCGCACCATTAATTGTGTTTTTGAAAATTCTATGAATAAGAGGTAGAATCTGTTCTAATATTTTCGTATGTAGGCCATTATTTGAACGAAGTATCAGATAAAGTGTTATTTATGATATTTAAAAAGTATGAATGTTCGGTTTTTGTATTTTCAGATTCCAAAGTAAACTCGAAAGATGAAAACCTATTCCTTGCATGTTTTTCAAACGTTTTTAAGTTCATTTTCCGAGAATTCTGAAAATCGATATTAGGACTTGTCTTGAAAAAAAAAAAAAAAAAATCAGACAAAATCACTACTTTCTTGTACTGAAAAACATCCAAACGTACTAAATGTGAAGAAGAGATAAAATGTCTATATTTAGCAAGGGTCCCTATCGGTGTGAGGGTATGAAAAATGTGTTTGGTTCGAAAAAGGACCAAATGATTAAAAGTATTAAATAATAGTAGAATGTACTTAGTGTGGCTAAAGCACATACTTTTATCGTAATAAACTTAACATTTAGCACTATTAGTACGGAATAATACACTATTTTACAAAGAGTTCAGCTGAAAATGTGTACCTTATGTTGGCCACCAGAACTCAAGCGCCGGCCATGTTGAGGGTGGAGGCCGTCATAACAGCCGATGGTCGCTCTCGGCTCGTATTAATCGACCGTGGCATCAGAATAAATTCCGAATGTTATCACGGAAACATTCTGGAGGGTGTATTAAAGCCTTGGGCACGCAAACATTTTGGCCGCAGACTTTGGACATTCCAACAGGACTCAGCACCATCGCACTCAAAACGCGCCACCTAAGAATGGTTACAAAATGAGGTTTCTCGCTTCATTTCCAGCGCACAATGACCACCAAAATCTCCGAATACCAATCCGTTGGACTACTGTGTCTGGAGTATTTTGCAAAGCAAGGTTGGCACTACAAAATACCAAAGTGTCTATCTCCTCAAACAAGCGCTTCGCCGGGAATGAGCCAAAATATCGCTGAGAAATATTCGGGCAGTGTGTGACGGTTCCATTGGCCGTTTGAAGGCCATAATTCGTGCCAAAGGTGACCAATTCGAACAAATCTAAACCTATTCTAAAATTTGATGCTATTTCCGAAATATTTTGCTTTCATTCAATTTAAAAAAAAAATATGTCGTTTGGCTTAGTTGCAGATTCTTATCTGACCCTGTATATTCATTTTTTCGGTGTTTGGGAGGTTTCTACCCTTAAATTTAACATTTCGAGTTCTCAGTTGATAGTTAAACTCCTCTCAAAAATATACAATGTAGGTCCACTTTTTATTGTAGTCCCATATAATGGTAGCTCTTGATTTTCTGTATTTGAAATTTTCCGTTCGATATACTGTATATTTGATATTTTGGGTCAATTGTGGGTAGATTAACTTATCCTAAAAATATATTCAATATACAACGGGAATTCTTAATTTTAAATTTCATTCAAGTTTTCACAGAGTGGTGGTTTAAAAAAAATATATTTTTCTTGTTACCCTATAAATTATATATCATTTATGGAAATCAAAATGATTTTTCCACTTTTGAGTGTCTCCAAACCACTGTGCTTGTTGACGTTTTTTTTGATACTGAGATTAGCCTTTTGCTTTCGTCATCATATTTGTTTTACTCCTGAGCTATTTAACATACGTTTGTGTTCTCTCTTTTCATAACAACAAATAAACTTCAATAGAAATGCATTTCACAGGGCGAGTTTATGGAGATTTTTATGGTCGTTGCTAGCTAGACGGAAAGATGATAGCCTATAAAAATTCTCTAAAAAAAATCATTATAACTATTTCCTATAGATTTCCAGAAAATGAGAATGGCCACGATCAAAAAAAGCAATTGCTACTATAAATAAAAAACCGCTTTGCTCTTCACAAAAAGAGTTTTTATTCAACTCTTTTTTTTTTGGAACGTCACAGGTCTACGTGGAGCAGAGTTATGTGCCGCGGCGAGTGAATCATAGTCATATTCTTTGCCGTCGTTGGTAGTACACTGGAAACCCATTAACCTAAACCGTTTCACATGATAACAGGGCAGTAAATGAAAAGAAAAAAAAAACAAAAATTAAGAACAATAATAATGTTTTGACGCGTTGTATTGCTCTTTTGTTTAAACATTAGACCAACAACTGTTTGTTTCCATTAATTAAAGTTTTCAATTTTTTGCGAAGGCCATTTCTCTTCAATAACACGTAGCAAACACATTTTAACGATAAGAATAATTTATTTAGGTTTGGTCTTCCAAATAGTCCGAAGAAATTAAAGGGAAATTATGGGCTTAAATTTTGGAAATAAAATTTATTATCTCTTAGAAAGAAAGTGTTTGAAATGGTAACCTGTTATATGGTTATAATATTTAAAAAAAAATGGTAAAGCATGTGTTATTTAAGTCAAGCCTTAAAGGTTCTTGGGCAATAAAAAATCGTTAAAGAGAATTTTAAACTTGGGTCGATAATAAAGTCAAAGTATGAGTGCATTTCAACCTCAATTAAATATTATCTCTAAAATTAACCTTATGTCAATAAAGAACTTTGAAATGAAATATATTGTATAGTATTCGTTTGAAAGATCACAACTTGTTAGTTAACTTAAATACGAACCTTGTGTAGGAGAAGTATACAGATATTTTAGACCATGGAGTAAAATGTAATTATGCCCCCAGCCATATGACTAGAGGGGTATAGATATCATTTGATATGTAGGTACGGCCAAAACGTACCCTATCAAAATAACGGCTTTAGACCCCAGGTCTCTTTGGACCAAATCCGTATGGCTGGTGCGAAAGATGACTCTCGAAATGAGTATCCGATTTGGTCCAAACTTGGTACATCGTAATATTATCGATCCACTCCTTCTGGTACCTCCCCAAAAATGTCGAAATTTTCAAAAAAAAAAATATCTATATGTATATAGGGTGAAATTAAAAACTGCAACAAAGTCAAACTCGTTAGTTTTTACATTTTTTTTTTAATTTAATTGAATGAAAGCAAAAATGTCGGAAATAGCATTAAATTTTAGGATAAGTTTAGATTTGTTCGAATTGGTCACTTTTGGCACGAATTATCGCCTTCAAACGTCACACGCTGTCCGAATGTTGCTTTGCGGTATTTTGGCCCATTTCTGGCGAAACGCTTGCTTGAGGCGATCGACACTTTGGTATTTTTTAGTGCCAGCCTTGCTTTCCAATATACTCCTGACTCAATAGTCCAACGGATTGATATCCGGAGATTTTCGTGGCCATTGTGCGCTGGAAAAGAAGCGAGGAACCTCATTTTGTAACCATTCTTGGGTGGTTCGTGCTGAGTGTTTGCGTGCCCAAGGCTTTAATACACCCTCCAAAATATTTTCGCGATAATATTCGGCATTTATTCTGATGCCACGATCGACTAATATGAACGGAGAGCGACCATCGGCTGTTATGACGGTCCACACGATCACCATGGTCAGTGCTTGAGTTTTGGTGGTCAAGCGAAGGTGCACATTTTCAGCTGACCTCTTTGGCAAGCGCCGATCACACGATCATTTTGTTTGTTTACAAACTGCTGGACAACGAATGTTTTCTCATCGGAGAAAAACAAATTCGGCATTCCACCACTTTAGGCCAAGCGAAGCAATTCTTTGGCTCTTTTGAGTCTATTTTCTTTCTGTTGCGGTGTAAGTTCTTGCACTTTTTGGAATTTTAATGGCTTTACCCCGAGCTCATTTTTCAAAAATTGGCGAATGGACTATTGCGTTATGTTCAGCTCACGAGCC